GGCTGCAGCCACACGAGAACGATAACGGTCGTATCCGCTACAGTTCTCTATCATATAGACCAGAGGTGCCCAGTACGGCGACCGCGGGGGCAATGCTGGTAAATCGCGAGTCATTCATAAAAAAAAAAATCCGGCTCCGTTACAATAGACAAAACAGGTTTTGATCCCTCCTCCCTTGGCCTCCCTGCCACTTAATTCAGGAGTTTACTTGATTGACAGAAAAAGCGACCTATCGCTTTCCAGTTTGTTAACCCAGAATGCAAAGCGATACAAAATCAGTCAAGTGCCGGGAAAACATTCACATTCAAAGGTTATTTGCCTTATTTGTAAAGCAAGCGTCGCTCTGCCCAAGAAAGGTAACGTGGAGAGGCATTATCGGAGTGTTCACAAGGCATATAGCGACTTCCCTCCGAGAAGCGAGTTGAGAAAGAGAAAGGTCATGTATTATTGCTACAGAAACATTATCTCGCAGTCTTATGTATCTCTCTCCCCCGTCTTTGTGCGAGGGGGCGGGGCAGTTTACACACATGCAGCTGCTACATGCAGCAACACACGGAGGAGATGGCGGAGAGAAGCGCTCCAAGGTGTTGTTAAATGTTACACGTCTTGAGGTGGACAATGCTCGTTGCCAAGAGTGTTTAGCATGTAAGGGCGGTAACACGAGCAATTTGTCTAAACATTTAGCAAAAGTGCACCACATTCAGACGGAGAAATGCACCGGGTTCGACTGTCTTTCTAGCAGCTCTGTAGCTCCATCCATGAGTAAGTTTCCACGTCAGGTATTGTATGCTAGCAGCAACACACGGAGTTAACTACATTATACACATATGGGTTAATGATCAGCTCACCGAGGTCTACCAACCAAAAATAAAGGAGGTAACAGAGTTACTCTTTATTTTGTTAAAGTTTCAGCTATTCTGTAAGTTCTGTCATCAGATTATTTAATACGATTTGTTACAATACATTGTTGTTTCTTTTAATGTGAAATATTATTTATTTAATTTAAATAAAAAGCAATGTTAATTTTGTTCACAATTTGTTAAGTTAATTTAATAATATATGTATTTTTGAATCAAGTATTCATCTTTATTGTCTTCATTGCTAGTTTCCACATGCCTAAAACAACCTCAAGCTAAATCTAAAAGTTGACGGCTAAATAAGAGCGTTTGAGAAATTGTGCGTTTCATTAATCGATAGATTAATCGATTATCAAATGAGTCGTTTGTTGCAGCCCTATTGTAGTTATCCCATGTATAAATAAAACGTGTTATTCAGCAACCCTTGCAATTTGGGATTTTATTTTTGGTTGGTAGACCTCGGTGAGCTGGTCATTTCAGTAGCTCACCAGCCAAAAAAGTGTGGGCACCCCTGATATAGACGGTTCGGCCACACGAGGACGACATGGAAAAGCAGATAACGATAACGGGTCCCAAGGTGGGTAGATCTGCAGACGAAACGCTGTGGGGGACAAACGATTCTGTGTCTACGCCCTATACGATCATTTCCTGATAACGATGACGCAATAGCCCCGTCTCTCCCCACCTCTCCTGCTCAGCGATCAGCTGCTGGGCTGTCAGAAGAGGGGGAGGATAAGAGAGGCTCCGTTTTTCTATTCTTATATTATTATATAGAGTCGTTATCAATTTGTTTTAAAGCTCAATAGATAACAAAGATTTCCAGAAGATTGAAACTTTAACGGACATGTTGACCGGCGGAATTTTTTTTAACGGAAACTCTGCCTCGAATTCGGTTCGTTTGCGTTACCGTTCTCGTGTGGCTCCAGTCTAACACATTTTACTATCCCGCCACCTCTAGAAGCCCTCAGCACATACCGGCTTTTGAGCAATTAATACATTATTTGTTATTTTTAATACTCCTAACCTTTATTCAAAATATCTTACATACAAATAATATTAACATGCTATTTTCTTTACCTTTCCTTGCATCTCCGCTTACTTGGTTTATATTTAAATATGTCTGGGATTTTAGCATTTGCCGACCATTGACCTGCCTAAAAACGTATATAACACAACACAGGAAAGGGGAAACCCCCCCCAAAAGGGTAATTGTGCCTCTTTAAACCACCACCACACATTCAGGATAGGCTTCACAGTAAACTGCAGTATTTACATAATCAAAGACCATAATCAAACAATCAATGCTGTTTTTAAAATGTTCTTACCTTGCTAATTCAACTTGAACGTCATATTACTGAATGATGGTCAAACCTTATGGGATTTATTTGGGAACTAAGATACAGTTAATACAGATACAGGACAAAGAGTACTAAGACCTCTATAGTGCTGCTATACACATGGTCCTTTCCACAACCTTACTCTCTCTTTGCCAACAATCTGGAGGTCCTTTCTTCACTAAAAGCGTAGAAAATGCATAAATGTGGAAAACGTACTATTCTGTTGTTAACAAAAGATAGTATTTTCCACTATAGAGGCATAACATGCACAGGGTTACCCTTTTCTATGAACAGGCAGAAAGCACTTGTCCTTGCCTAGGCGGCACACTATTCCCATTCACATGCAAATGTCTCCTGCTCTTTTAACCCATGCAGAGAGAGCTACCTGACAGCAAGATGTAACCTGACACACACACTGTGGAAGACAGGAAGTCATGGAGTGTTAAACACACACACACACACACACACACACACCACACACACACACACATACACATACAGCAGCATTTGTTGGACATCAGTTAAGTTAGATTCTGTACACCCAAGCCATAATAGAAAAGTTTGGAGTAGAAAAATGTGTGGTCTACTTTGTGCCCTTTACTTGTCCCAGCATTTTTTTGCTTTATAACTGGAGATAACTCGCTGTGACAAAGGCTTAATTGAATTGAATCGGAGTTGCACGAGGAGAGGCTGGTTTAAAGAATGACGCCCAGAGGAATGTGATCCAGTGTATCTCTGAGGCTGTGAGTCACAGGCAGCCGTACAGCCGGCAGCCGAAGACAGTCGCTTAGTTTGATGTTAACTTGTTTCTCCTCCGGCGGCGGCTGTCACCTCTTGGTATCCCTCTGTAGCAGAGCTCAGATCAGCGGGGTATCTGAGGGCCTGTCGTTTTGCTCTCCATCACAGCCGCCGCAGCTCGCTCTAGGACACAGGTAGCAGAGCTGCAGCACAAACTGAATGCTGGGAGATTTATGTCGCTGGCCGTGCCGGTTAATGACAGTGCTTCATGGTGGCTTGCTTTCATATACCTTCTTTCCTAGAGGGGTCCCTGGTTATATTGTAAACATTGCACCTGTGTATCTTGGTGTTGAATTTCTTTCATTACTTATACTCTCTGGAAAACTGAAGGTTAAACACAAAGACAAATAAATGAAAATGTTTTTTATTTAGCCTTTCTTTGTTCTGCAATACTTATTGTTTGCAGTTCTAATGATGTTGTTCTCCACTTTGTGGTAGAACAATTTAGCTAGGTCAAATAATGTTGGCATCAGGACTAAGAGTGTCTTGTCTTATTACATTAAATGGCGCGAACAAGTTTATTAATTAAATTACCTTTCAGATCTTCAGGTTTGTTTCTGTGTTAAGGTTGAACTGGGCCTTTAGTCTAGAGCTAGGCAATACATCAATATTGATATTGGGCTAAATCATTCATTATCATCTGGGGTTTGGTTATTTTAATCACAGAAAACAGCTTCTTCAATTATTTTGTATTCCTCATTCACAGTAGACATGAAACAGTCAAAAATATTAGCTTTGATGATGTCATCTTGGGATTTGGGAAACTCTAAATAGTCATTGATGAATCGAGAAAATAATCAATAGATTAATCAACAATGGAAGTAATACTTAAAGGTGGGGTAGGTAATTTTGGAGAAACCAGCTCGAGTGCGCTAGAATTTGAAAATACACAGCCGTAAGAAATCTGCCACTTCTTTACAGAGCCCCTCCTCCAACACACACGAACGCGCACATGACCAATGAGGGCACGAGATAGGGTTGTGCACAGATGGAAGGCTGACAGGCAGGTAGGCCATCCAGTTACTTTAGCCAGGCTGGCTAAAATGATTGGTCGTGCTTTTTACAGTATTACGGCTTCCACAGATGAATTTTTTTTATGGATTTTTTGTCAAAGCACTTCAGATATTCATTGCTATCGGAATGTTAAGAGCATTCCATGGAATATAACAAAAAGCGTATCTCAAGCCGGTTTCTCAAACTTACCTACCCCACCTTTAAGTGCCGCTCTTATATATTGAAAATCACGTTCATAAAACGATATAAAAGATCTTCTCCTACTTTGGCCAATGTCAAAAAGGACAAATATGACACACATAACCACCAGTGACTTGAATCAGATGGCATTGTGGCTTTTCTTAGCCATATCTCTCCTGGCTATTTTATGAACACAAGCCCTGCATCGCTCTCAGGTCAGTGAATCAGATGGCTGGCAGTAGCCCGATAGTTATTTCTATCAGCGATATTGTCATTACAAACCACATATCATTGCAAGTTGATTGTTCGGCTAGCCGTCAGGGACACGAGGCGTCTCTCTGCGTTAGAGCGAGTTCCTGTTGGGGCGGGGCCACGGGGGGCCAGCTCACACATGGCGGTCCCGAGGCCGCGGTGCTGGGCTCAGATGATCCGCTGCAGGCCATGATGGCTGAGTCAGAGGTGATCCTGAGCAGCGCTGAGTGATGACTGTTGGAGCTCAGACTCCTGGTGCTTTGTTAATGAGCTGAGACACGCACAGAAAAACAACACACGAGAAAAGTTTGACTGTATATGCAATATTCAAATCGCAGGAGGTGCAATATTTGTTCTCGGCGGCAGAGATATTCTGGCCTATAAACGCTATTCTAGATTCCAGATCTTCATTAAAAATCACACCATGATCATTTGAATATATTTTTGAGTAACCAAAATGATCAATCCCAGCATGGATCTTCATTTGTCATTGTTTCCCAATCCTATTTCCATCCCTAAATAGGACTATGGAGGAATTCATGTTGCATTATTCTCTTTGCAGGGAGCTGCATGTTCGATGAGGGTCTCGCAAAGTGTGACTACCAGCAGGATCCCTACGATGATATTGACTGGACGCACATCAACACACAGGAAGTGGCGTACGTCTCTCCAGAACTGCCCAAAGGTGAGACTTCACTTCCTTTCTCCTGTCTCTCTCATACACCTGTCTCTCTCATACACCGTGTTTAAAACGGCAATCATTATTGATCTGTGAGAAATACTTCTGATGGTTTTTTCAAAGTACTTTAAAATAGAATACTATCAATTGTTATGGAGTATCTCTACGTGGTTGTATTGTAGCTCCTATTCAAGTGAAGGATCTGTGTACCTCTTCCACCTCTAGCACCTTGTCCTCCTCTGTCTCCCTGCATATTTCCTCCCTCTCTCCTCTTTTCCAAGACATCCTCTCCTCTTTAATCAGTTGTTTTTTTTCTCCGTGGTGATGATGAAGGGGAAATTAAATCTTTCTGCCGTAGGGCTGAGGGTCTAATTAACAGAATATGAGGTCATTAATCAACGGCGGGGAACAGGGAAGGTTGCCTACATTACAATCTTAAAAAGCTAAATGTTATAACAATAACCAGCTATGCTATGTTGAGATGGTAACTGGCGTCAGAACAAATTAAAACCACAGCCTAAGAGGAATTTTTACTCGAGTATGAACAATGGTGCTAACCACATTAAGGAAAGCATGTTCAAATATTACAACCACAAATTGGCTTTGGGTTTGTTCACATCTTTTCTCTCTAATCCTTTCCTTTCCTCTAGTCTCCTTCCAACATTTCCTTTCCTTTCCTCTAGTCTCCTTCCAACATTTCCTTTCCTTTCCTTAGTCTCCTTCCAACATTTCCTTTCCTTTCGTCCACTTGTCCTTCTCGCCTCCTCTCTTTTACTCTAGTCTTCTTCCAACATTTCCTTTCCTTTTATTTCCTTTCGTCTACTTTTCTTGTCTCCACTTGTCCTTCTCGCCTCCTCTCCTTTCCTCTAGTCTCCTTCCAACATTTCCTTTCCTTTCCTCTAGTCTCCTTGCAACATTTCCTTTCCTTTCGTCCACTTGTCATTCTCGCCTCCTCTCCTCTCCTTTACTCTATAGTCTCCTTCCAACATTTCCTTTCCTTTTCTTTCCTTTCCTTTCGTCTCCTTTTCTGTCCTCTAATATACTTTCCTCTGTCCTCTTGCCTCACTGTGCCTCCTTTCTTCTCCTTTCTTTTGATCTCATCTCCCCTCCTTTCATATTGTGTCCATGTGTTTCCTTTCCTGTCATTTTGTCTTTTTTCCTGTCTTCTATTCCCCTTTCCTCTGTTGTATCATCTCCTTTGCTTTCCTTATTTCTCCTTTTGTCTCCTTTCCTCTTCTCTAGTCTCCTTGCCTCTTGTCTCCATGTGTCTCCTGGTGTCTCGCTTTCCTCTCTCTAGTCCTCTTTCTTATCATCTCCTCTCTTATCTTCTCCATTCCTTTCCTTTCCTCAAGTCTCCTTTCCTTTCCTCTCATCGAGTCAAATGTCCTCTTGTCTCCATTTATCTTCTTTCCTCACCTCTATCCTCTTGACTCCTCTCCTTTCGTTTCCTGTCCCCTTGTATCACTTCCTTTGCTTTCCTTATGTCTCATTCTGTCTTCTTTCCTCTCCTAAGGTCTGCTCTCCTCTCTGTTTTGGTAGATTACGACCATGTTACCATGACAATAATATGTGGTTATTTATCTCTCATGCTTATCATCCTGACACCCCAGCCCCGCTGACATTTAGAGAAAGGTTCAGTTCAACACCAGCCCTTTAGGATTTTCACATAAACACACACCTCCTCCCAAACTGAGTGTATACCTGCGGTCTTGCATATATTTACTATGACACAAGAGCGGGGGGCCTCATCCAATGGTACAAAATCTAACATTTAGTGATATTAATACAAAGTGGTGTCACTAAGCAGAGTGGGCGAGGTTAAATACGTGGCCCGAGCGCGCAGAAGTAATGCCGGGAATTAACATAGCATTACCTCCTGTAGGAGTGTGTGGGATGAGCGGGGGGGGGGGGGCACGGGGATGTCAGGGCAGGTTAATGGTTTGGAGATGTTGGTTCAGAGCGTTGCCTAAAGGTACGGGAGCACAAACTGACATTTGATGTGTTAATAATGCCAGCAGGGTGAGGGACAGTGGTGCTTGAGGATGGGAAACGAGGTTGCGGGAGGGGATAGAATAGAATTGGGAGGGATGAAACCCTCTTTAATGGTCACACATGCAGAGCACACACAGTGAAATTTGGCCTCTGCATTTAACCCATCCTAGTACAAGGAGTCTAGTACTAGGAGCAGTGGGCAGCTATTGTACAGCACCCGGAGAGCAATGGGAGTGAGGGGGGGTGTCCGGTGCCTTGCTCAAGGGCACCACGGCAGGGCAGGAGGTGAACTGAGACCTCCCCAAGTAGCAGTCCACACTCCATATTTTAGGTCTGGTCGGGGACTTGAACCGGCGACCCTACAGCTCCCAGTCCAAGCCCCTACTGACAGAGCCACTGCCGGACTAAAGAGATACGGCAAGGTCTTGTATTTGGAAGAAGGAGCAGGGAACGGGCGAGGGGTTGAGCTGAAATGCCTTGCCCTGGGAAACATTGTTAATGCCTATTATTAGGATTGCTGTTTTGTCAGGCTATCCCAGCCACCAGTAATTTAGGAGTCTCTGGTCCGGCTGCCGTCTCTCTGAGGCCGGGGCATGATTTAGAGAGGAGGCAGTAAAGCATTTGGGCTTTTGACCCCTTCAAACAAAGAGATATCTACTCCCTTTATTCAGGGACGGTTGCAGGGAGTATATGGCACCTCAAAGACCTGTGGGAGTTAGTTCATTTGACTGATTACCAGTTCAGAAGGTTGTATCTATAGTCAAAAGCATTGGGAGAACAAAAGGCGTCATATTAAGGCTTTACGTAGACGATATTTCAGCTAACAATTATAGTTTTGTTCATTATAATCCACATTGCTGATCACCATTTGTGCTTAAGGCGGTATTTAGAGTGGAGGGATGGATTGGCTGTTTTTTGAAATAGAGATAAAACTATTCAGTGTAATCTCTCTGAGGGTTGATGTTGGCACTAGCCTCCATGGCAGGGTCGACATGCCACGCTGGCAGCGCGCGTTGTGCCAGTTGAACATTCATGGGCTGGGGCTCTGGGGCTCAGCGGACTAAAGCAGATACTCTTGACTCATAATGTTGTCAGCCAGTACCACTCTAAACCTATTTGGCATGCCATTATCTCCATGTCTCTTGTCTCACTGTCCTCTTGTTTTCCACAGTGTACTGGCTAATAAGGGAGGAGGGAAAAAAGCATTTATACTGCAGTAGAGCTGCTCTCTGGTCCAATGGATGTTTTAATAATGAGAAAATAATGATGGTTGCAGCAACACAAATTAAGCAGCCTTAAAATGACCATTAAATCAAAAATCTATGACGGAATTCATACAAAACTTGATCAAACAAAAGTAGTATTTGTTGCATTGGATTGCATTTGATTTATTGAACCCCATGTTATTCGAAATAAAATGTTATTTGCTCTAATGATATAGAGCACATTTTAATCCGAATCGGGTTTATTGCCAAGAAGGGTGACACATACAACTAAATTGCTTGTGTTTAAATGGTGCATACAAAGTGCATAAAGCAATACATATTGGTGCTCTTAGGAGAATCTAGTATATTTCAGATTGTATAGAGGCAGTCAAAAGAAACACTTTAAAACCTCCATTCAAACGATAGATATTAAAGACAGGTTTATAGAAATACCAGAGGAACGGAAAGATTGAATTGTGAGGCGGGAAGAGAATCCAAGGTTTGGGAGCAACAATGGAAATTCCTAAACACCCTTTGATTTTTAACTGGAAACATGTGATGAAGAGCAGCGATAGAGTCCATGCAGGGCTTTCAAATAAAGTGATCTTCAAATCAGTTCCATATTTGACATTCAATTATCTTAGTGTTGTTGCTTTATTGTGGACAAGCGCCATCGTTGTTTAGAAGTATTTCACTGGGGTATGCTACACCAAGAGAGTCAGATTGTCTACATCCCACTCAGTATGGTTGGTAGCATATCATTTGTGTTCCTATTAGCTGTTATTCCAACTGAGGGCTGTTTCTGTTTTGCAGAAAAATACTCTATGTACGATTTCTCTGCTTCTGCCGCTGCTGTTGTTGTTATGTGACATATCTAGGTCTTAAGGCTGTCTCAGGGGTATTTTTAGCCCCGTCGTTACATTGTGCTGTTATTCTATTAGCGGCCATTTTAGTTCAAAGACATCAGCCATTTTACAAGCTGGCAGACTTCAGGTGTCAGATGTTCTTGGCATCATACGGTCTGCTTTCTTAACATGTGCGATCTGTCATTTGCATGTACTGTCGATCTTTTACTAATCATAGTTTTTCAAAAGCCATTTTTGTCTGATTTCTAGAACCCTGCAGGTGAACGGCTGCTTTACCAGGTTGGACATTGGCTATTTACTAAATATTATTCAGCTATTTTTACCAATCCTTTATCCATTTGTTTTTGTAATTTGTCAGCTGGCAGTGTTTTGCTAAGAAGAGGTACTAAAGGTTATATTTGTGTGTGTTTTGACATATCTGGGTCTCTGAATGATAGGAATATTTTTAGCTAGCACACCATCTTGGCAGCCATCTTAAAGGCACTTGTCACCATCTTAGTATCACTGCCAAAATATTGAGAAATAGGAGTGACATCCATCGTGTTTTCATTTTGGATTGATATAGATTACAGAGAAGGAGACAGAAGATGGTGCTGGCCTCGAGTCGTTTCTGTTGTGATGGCTGTAGCCCCGTTTTCAGATTTTGTGTCTTGTTGGGGACAACCAGGAAGTAGGATTTTCTTACGACTGAAATATAAGTGTGTGTTTTTTGTATGTGTGTGTGTGTGTAGGCGTGAGTGGGAAAAAGAGAGATCAAGAGAGAGAAGCAGAGCCAATCCAATAACTAGGATACAGTGTTTGGTTTTGACAACATGTGTGTGCGTGTGCGTGTGTGTGTGTGTGTGTGTGTGTGTGTGTGTGTGTGTGTGTGTGTGTGTGTGTGTGTGTGTGTGTGTGTGTGCACTAGTTGAAAGCCTCTTATGTTGTGCTGTAGTCTGCAGAGAAAAGTGCTTTCTCACGCAGATTAGCTAAACAATAAGCGATAATCACTATTGTTCTTCAGCTCATTGTATACAGCACATTGCTTATTGTATAATATGGAAATAGATTTAACCAGTTGGTTGGCGGTCTGTTTGTTCAACTAGAGCACAGACATTATGTTGTATTGTATTTTATTCTATTGAGAACTGTTATGGTAGTGTATCACTTCTCTATTTTCTTATAGTGCCACATTTTATTTTATTACACTCAAAGCTTCTATTGAGGTTTTTGAATGAAGCTTAAAATGTCTGTTGTCTGACTTAATCTTGTTCTTTTTTTTTATTGTCGAAAAAAATCCTCCTTTTTGAAATTTAAAAATGACTTTGAAAGTAAAGAATTAAGGACCCAAAACATATTAAAGATATTCAATTTATATTATTGCAAAAGAGAGGAAATGGCTAATCCTCACATTGGAGATGCTAAAACTAGCATATGTTTTTGCATTTTCCGTCTGAACCAATCGTGAAAGACCAAAATATATTGTAGTTATTCAACTTATGTTCACGTAAAACAGAAACGCAGCTAATCCTCACACCGGAGTGGCGAAAACTAGCATATGTTTAGCATTTTAACTTGAGAAACCATCTCAATAATTAATAATGAAAGATCGACAAACCAATAATCAACGCTTTGATTCAGTGCTTGTTCTATTCAATTCATTTATTTTATATCAATTAAATAGATATCATGTTTTTTTCGATGAGCTAATGTGAGATTGTGAGATTAGACATCAGGCAGGATAGGCTCACATTTCATCATATTTCACTGGAACAACATCTGGTTGAGGTCTGAGCTGATTACTGGAACATCTGGACGTCAGCTCACCCAGATTATAAATAATATCGAGCCACGTTCCCTATCATCCACTACTGTAGGTCCAAGGTATTTATTCAATAGTGACAGCAAGGATAATATTGACCTGTTGTACATGTATGCAAACTTAGCTAACCAGTGTTGACTGAAAACTGTCTCCGGAATCCTAGGAAGAATAAAACGAATGGATTTATATTTGAAGGCAGGCAAGAAAGGAGGAATCTTTTGCGAACAAAATAAGACAGAAAATGATAGCCCAGAGGATATGTTTAAAAAAATGCAATGAATCATGTAACGCCGCTTGGTTGTTGCAGGTAATGATATGTTGCAGCCTGTGGAATTTTTTTTTACAAGTGTGGTTAAGGAATCAAACATCAGCTACTGGCATAATGCAAACTGCAACTGGATACTTGGATACATGATTTTGATCAACTTTCACTCATTTTGATCGTGTAAACCTGCCTTCACGCTACACATTTGAACATTGTATTACCTGAAAGCTGCAGAGTTGATTTACCAAAATGAAAAGGAGACACTAAGGGAAAAAGAACATAAAATAAAGAAAGTAAAAATAAAAAAGGTATACTCCTTTCCTTTCTTCTCTTGCCCATTTCCAATGTGTATCTGGCTTGCTTAGAAACACATCATCACAAAGGGGAACAAAGGACAAAAACACAGTAACAAGGTATTTACATGTTTGGACGGGGGGGGGTTGATGACTGATTTATGTACCATAAGCCCAAAAGAAATGAGAGAAGAGAGTAAACACATATAAAGGAAAGACTAAAGGCTCTTTGGAGCTTTTGTTCTCATGATAGGATACTGCTTCAAAGTGTACATGTCAAACAGGAATGAGCAGGGAATAGAGAAGTTTACCTTGGCTTCCTGTTCTTTGTGTCCTAAATGACAGACATGAGCTGTTAATGGATTACATTCTTAAATTGGATTTCAGTGTTTAATGGATGGGACTCAAACACACAATGTTGTCACAGAAGAATGCTTCTGATAGTTAATAATAATAAATATCAGATGGATACAAAAAGGGGTTAGGGGTGATTATGATTCAAGATTACATTGTTCACATGCACACTACAGATATCACAAAAGACAACAAAACCAATAAGCAAAATAAAATAAAAACACTTATTTAGCTAAACCAAATTATGCAATGTTAAAAGTTGCTTTACATTTAATTGAACTACAATTACTTGAATTAACTGACCTGGCGTTGAAGAGCACTTATTTTTGTACACTTGTATTCACTCACTGTAATTGCCCAATTCACAGAACTGTTTTAGCTGTCGGTTTAAAGTGTTATGTCTTCAACGAGGATTATCTTCAAGCTTCACAGTAGCAGAGAGTTGGTTTACTCGTGTAGGTACATGTAAGGCAGGCAGTGTGACTACATCATCGTTTTTGACAAGTCCAGTCGTAGAAACTAAAGTACCCCCTCACCACTGCTAGTCTGTTAAGGCACTCAGGCACAGCAAAGAAGCTGATTAAGAGGTCTCAGAAATCAGAGATATGTTATCCTCCCAACAGAGGGGAAATTAACAGAATACCAGCCAGATAACAGTAGTTAAAAGTATATACATATTCAGGTTTAATTAAGAAAAACTTGTGAACTATATCCACCTTAAGTTAAATGTGATATTTCTTTGTTGACCCTCTCTTTGTCCTTGTGTTTAGGTACCTACATGTACGTGGACGTCTCACAGCACGATGAGGGGACGAAGGCCAGGTTTCAGCTGCCTGTGATGAAGGAAAACGACACTCACTGCATCGACTTCAACTATCTGCTCACTAGCCCCGGAGGCTTCAGCCCCGGCACCCTCAACGTCCTGGTGAAGGTACTGAGAACAAACACAACAGAAAACAATAAAAAGATGTAGTTTATTGCACTTAAAGGTCACCTATTAGGCAAAATCCTCTTCTTCATGTCTTTTCTACATCAACATGTGTCCCCTCTGCGTAAAGAGATTCTGAAAGTTTCAGGAAAAAAGATTCTCTCTCTTTTTGTCCTGATCCATTTCTATAAAAACCTGTCTGAAAATGAGCCGATCAGATTTCGGCCACTTTATGATGTCATAACGATTTTTTGGCTTGTGTCACCATTAGCCAATCACCAACCAAGGTAACCATATTTCGCTTACTATTTGGAGTACAAAAACAATCCTGATCAAATCCAATCAAATCAAGTTTTATTTATATAGCACATTTATAAATGATTTTTGGTCGAGCCAAAGTGCTGTACATAAAATAAAAATAGCCTACAGTAGAGACACAGTAGTCAGAATATCAGTATGAGAAAAACGACACCCTCTATCCTTAGACCCTCACATCGTACAAGGAAAAACTTCCAGAGAAAACCCACAGTTTAAGGGGAACATGGGAGAAACTCCAGGGAGAGCAACAGAGGAGGGATCCCTCTCCCAGGACGGACAGATGTGCAATAGATGCCGTGTGTAAATCGAAGAGATAATACATTTTACAGCATATAGACCGAATGTTAGGAAATGCATGTTTCTGTAATAAGAAGAGGAATCCACGAGGATGTCAGCTACAATCCTGTGGAAGCCATCAGGGAAGCAGCACGACGAGACCCAAGGCAGGACCGCAGAGACAGGTTCAGCCACGACCCGAAGTCCACGACTTAATCCAGAACTCAGGATAGAGGATCCAAGACACAGGACTACAGCAAGAGGATCAGCCTCGACTCCGGATCCCGGCGTAGATATAGATACAAAACAAGAAAAAGATTTGGCTGGGTTAATCGGAACAAGAGAATACACAGACACAGACAGAGAGGGAAAAGGTCATTGGATAAAAGTTATTCTTGATAACCCTCTAGAAAGATCTCATGAACTTCCCCACTCAATCTATCAAGGAATGGAAGCTAAGCAGTTTGATTCCATTTCATGTTTTTAAAGCTAGGATAGACGCTATACAATCAGAAAATATTGGTGTCTGTAAATGCTACTAGTATACAAACTGTAGTATCATATAATGTATAATGTCCTTTGTTTTCTGTCATGTTTGTATTAATGTTTGGAACTAATTGAAGCAGGTCACCATTGTAAAAGAGGTCTATGATCTCAATGGGTTTTATCTGTATAAATAAAGGTTTTGAATTGAATTGAATTGAATCAAGACGCGAGCAGTTCTATTAGATATAGGATAAGAAACAGAGATAGGGAGCACTAGATATCATTAGAAAGCTAGGAATATCCTCTTTCCAACAGTGTATACAACTCAAAATGTGTCTTCGGGTCAATGCGACTGATTTCGATAGAGCAGGTCACATATCTATAGACCTATAATATATTGATGAAAGAGAGTATTATGGGGGGACCTGTAACGGACTGAGACCGGACCCAGTAAACATATGTCCGTACCTTTTTTAATTAATTTTGAAACTGTGAACAAACAAAGCTGTTTAAAAGCCTTTGCAAAGTGTCTGAGGCGAGGTTTGATTTCACGAAACACAAGCTGGATTGCAGTGTTTGCTTGTTGTTGTTTTCAGGAAACATAAGGTTCTTCTACTCCATAAAACAACTCTAGATGAGTTCAAGCGCTGAGTAAAAGCGTTCTGTTTGTCACAAAACCAGATGGTGAACAGAGCCTCTTAAGTTAAAACAAAACAAAACAGGATTTATGGGAAATGTGGTCTGGATTTTGAGAAATCAAACCACAAATGACGCAGTTAGCCTGCAAAAGAGGCTTCAGTCGGTCTCGATTCAACCTACAGTTTGGGTAAGGTTGTACAATTAAGTGTAATAACTTCATTTAACAATAAAATGCTAACCTTTTTAAATCAGAAAACATACATCGCTGACACCCTAAGAATGTGTTTTGTTTCGAATAATAAGGATGATCTATCAAAATGTGTTCGGCAGACTTTTGGAAGTGTTTAGAAACCTAATTAACTGAAGATTGCTCATTGCAGCATTTCCTGGTCCTAAACAGCAGGGGAGTATTATAAGTCGGAAGTCTGCCCTTGAATTTCATGAAACTAAATCAAATCCACATTACTGCAAATCCTTGCTGAAGTATTGTTAAGCAAAATCGTTCTCCTACCATCGTAAAGGTGGAGGTATAACTGACAAAGACTTCTGACCTCTTCATTTGCATGAGACAGCATCACCATTAAAATATGTATTTTTGTTGAATTATTCATTGAATATCTCCTTGTAAATGAAGCGATGCGTCTCTGGGTGCGCCATGAAATATAAAGACTGTGTGTTATGTATGTTTTATATTGTGTTCTGTGTCTCTTCTAGGTAAACAAGGGTCCCTTGGCCAACCCTATATGGAACGTGACCTCCAACACTGGTAAATACCGGCTTCAATCAATCTCACATGTCATAACTTATTCAGATTTGATTGTCTTGTGTTGACCGTATCGTCGTCTTTCAGGTAAAGGCTGGATGAAGGCAGAACTCGCCGTCTCCACCTTTTGGCCCAATGAATATCAGGTAACTCCCTCAATGATACCCAACAGCTGTGATAATGAAGGATTTCTTTATCATGCAAATATTTCCTCTACTGCCACTCCCACACACACACACACACACACACACACACACACACACACACACACACACACACACACACACACACACACACACACACACACACACACACACACACACACACACACACACACACACACAGACATGCTGAGAGGCAGCCGGCTGATTTATCTGTGTTGACTGAGGCTCAGGAGGTGACGATTAGGCTAAAAAGAGGCTGAACAGAAATGTTGTGGGTGTTTGTGTGGGGTGTGGCGGCCAATGGAACATTCATATTGTTGTAAATGCTGCTGTATGTCGTTGTTTTTAATGAACACCTTTCTGACAATGGGATTCACAGAGGTAGAAATGGTTGCATGAGTGTTAAACAACACATTTGCTTCAGTGTTTCTTCTTCTTTCTTAATATCCTGCTGTCAGTCAGCATGATATGTGTGTCTTTGTGTGCTGGTGTTGACAGATGTGTGCACGTTGTGGGATAGCGTGTCTCCAAATGTCCTCGCAGGCATACAAACACACACACACACACACACACTGATCATGTTCACACACACAGCCTCGGGACCCTGTAATATTACTGCAAGGCGAAGTGTGAAAGCATCCTCCGAATGGCCCATCTGGAGCCCGGTCCCCCTCAGTGACTCTGGGAGGAGATCGCCAGCATGAAACCCGTGTGTCAACATGTTTTAATTGAACATAATCATCCTGGTTTGCTGAGGCTTATGTAGGCCTTTCAGGCTATGAAGCAGGTTATTGGATTTGAGGTTATGAAGCTATTTTTTCATGTTGGAACATGTTTCTGTTTTAGCACTTAGGCTTGAGATGTAATTAGACTGGTTTCACCAGGGGAAGCGTAGGCACATGCAGACACGTGTTGTGACACACACACACTCTGCACACTGATGTGCGGATAAAAGGCACACCCACACACTGGCAGCACTTTTTAGACTTTGTAATTAAAATGGTGTCTTTATTTAAAAGTTTATTCTGATTAGAAAACTTGCTTTTAGATGATCTTTGAGTTCCTAGACACTGTAATAAGTTAAACCCACGGCAGAGTTAGAGATGCAGTGAGTCCATTAGTTGGCTAGATGATGAATAGAAAAGGATTTGGCAACTATTTAGATGACGCAAAACAATGTATTTTGCATCGCATTTTTAAATCGGCCAAACAACCTTCTCATATAGTTATAAAAATAATGATGAAGTTTAATTAAAGCGTTTTTAGAGGAAGCCCTAAACCTAGATGAATAATGACGATTCAAACTACAACATGAAGTGGAAAAACACTCCTCGCCTGCAGATTTAGAATGTGTTGATGCTGTGGCCATACATGCATACATCAAAATGATTTATGCCTTTAGTTGATAAGAGCATGTTCTCCCTTCTCTGGAGTGATGATATGTCAGTCCGTAGCCTTCAGCACATCACAGTTTCTCCCATGTGAGGAGTTGTATACCGAGCTATCAGTAATCCGTCCTCTCTCTGACGAGAGCAGTCAGGCAGTGAGCGCTCGACACCAGCAAGATCGAAATACTGTCTCCTAAGAGGTGACCATCATCGGACCCCTGGATTCAAGGCTGAAATGAAAGTAAACAAGGAAACAGAATGAGCAGTGACTGAAGTGACCCTTGGTATTGTGGAAAACACCTGAAGCCATTTTTTTAAAAGACATGATCATTAATGGGGCAGTACACCTTGGACTAAGTCACATATGCAAGACACAAGGCACTCTTACATCTGGCGTTGGTCTTCAGTTGGAAAGGTTGCTATCAACATTTATTCTCTGGACAAATGACTGCAGTACTCACAGGTATGTATGGGGTCCAAGCAGCAGTGGTAGAAAATGACACCCAGAAGGGTATGAAAATGTTAGCCCTTTTTGGGCGCAATGCTATGTGACATGCATTTTAATGATAAATAAGATTAAGATGGATTTACTCTCCTCAAAGCCAACAGATTCAGAAACAGATCAAAACCATCTTTAATAGTATTTCCGCTGTTTTAAAAATCATCATCTCTGGTGTGAGACGCATATTTACTCACGCATATAGTGTACAAAATATGTAAGCACCGCTATTTACTTACCTAGATTTTTGGTGCATTTGTGGCGGAAAAAAAACAGGGAACAAATAATGACAACAAGGTGTATGCATTGGGAAATAATCTTTCACCAATGTTAAGTGGGGTTTTCTTCCATATCCACATTAACTTTGGTGAGAAAAGACTTGCAATGGACACTATGCATAATAACTGTGACTTGCTTTCGTGGACTTCATTTGACATTTTTTATAACTACGGTTATAATTTCTTCGAAAACTGATAAATTACGTTCATATATTTGCACACTCCTCACAAAGGAGGAGTCATGAGCTCATGCTATGGCTACTAAAACAATAGTGGTTGCATTAATAAGCAATAATCAGACTGTGGAGGCAGGCAGACAGACGGGGATGAAGGTATTAAAAGTCAACTGATGTCTTTCCGCCTCGCACTGAGCTATGAGTGAAAGATGATAGAAGAGAGGAAGACGGGAGATAGATTGGTAGGGGAGGGAGACAGAGAGGGGGAGAGTGTGACAAGCAGGGCATGATAAGCTATGGGTAAACAGTTCACGGCAGATTTCCCTTTACAGGTGATGAATGACAACAACGGCTCACCCCCTCACTCTTTCTCTCCCTGCCTCTCCTTTTTGATGGCCACCTCATCTCCTCCCTCTTCTCCTCTTTTCATTACAGCGCACCTCTCTGAGTAAACACAGTTAGAAAACAGAGAGGAGTTAGGGGAGAGAAATGGCTCGAAAGAGGGATGATGATGGGAGAAAAAACAGAGTGGAGTGAGTATTGGAGGAAGGGAAGAAGAGATAAACGAGGATGAGGAGAGTAGTTATTTAGACCATGAGCTGATAATGGCTGAAATGGAAGCACCTGTTGAATGCAGCATTCACACTCTACTTGAAATATCGGATTTAGAGAAGTAGCCTTGGACACAACCACTAAGAGTAGTAAATTACAGCTAATGACCATCATTTGGAGATCCCATTCAACATTATTCATCTTGTTTTTCCCCATTTGTTTTCTTCAGTATTGCTTCTTTTTGTAAGATGTGAAGGAAAAACCAATAGATGGGATCCAACCCTTCATTTCTCTACCTTACCATGTTTGGTTTCATTACTTGAGATTACTTTGATCCAACAGGAAGTATCTCATTTATCCTTTATGGCCTGAATGTATAAATCAAGTACAGGGTTCTTACGGTCATTAAAAACCTGGAAAAGTCATGGAAATTCAAAATGCTATTCCAGGCCCTGGAAAAGTTATGGAAAACAATATTTTTCCCAAAGTTTTGGAAAAGTAATGGAAATGTAACTAAAGTTGCATCAAACCTAATTTATATTTTATCTACAGTAATCGGCGAAATAGTAATACTATAATGATAATAAATACTGTATCGTATAGTAATGAAACGTAAAATGGCTTTTAACTGACGAGGTATTTTGCTGGTGAGAGATTTTAGTTGCTTTAGCCTGTAGAAGCTAGCAAGCCTACTATTTGATTTGTTGGATAGGCACAACATGTTTTAGACCTTATTTTCCTGTTCCATGTTTAAATAAACCATTTTCAGTGGTACCGCTGAGAAAGAGTAATTTCTTTGGTCATGGAAAATTAGGTAAAGGTCATGGAGAAGTCATTGAAAATCATTGGTGAAAAAGTGTATGAACCCTGCAAGTAGCAGTCACGATGGCAGCTTTGTATTTATCCAGTTTAGTGCACATCACCAGCTACTGTCACCGACTTTCTATCTGCCCTGTGCCAACTCTGATTGGATCCATCACTTTGACTGCACATTTAAATGGCGAGAGTCTTACTGTGGAGCTTCGAGTGCTCCCAGAATGATCTAAAGCCTATGGGGCACAGTTTCTGATTTAGTTACAACACTTAAGAGGGTTGATGATTTTGCATCTGATGAGCAAACGCAGCATTTTGGTTACGTAGGGTTTCTCCTACACTCTAAAAACAAATGCCTTGGCTCAACAAAGAAAATCAACGCAACAGTTTGCATCGATGTTTATTGAGTTAAGACAACTTCTAATGAAATTGTCTTAAAGCAACAAAGTTAGTTGAGTTAGGGGAGAAGGCTTTTCCTCTACAATCAGAGGTGTTTTTAATTACCACTTACTTAATAATTGGTATTATAAACACAAGTTTTGAAGTTGATTACTCAAAAGATTAAGTTGTTCCGACTTGTTTTACCACATGATTTAAAAGGAATTTAATGTTGTATGTACTTAATTACCCTCATTGTGAACACACGTTTTTAAGTTGACAACCATTTATAAATGAAGTTGCTCCAAATATATTGTATTCAATAGTTTTTTTTCTTAGCTTTTTCATGTTTTAGTCTTTAAAGAAAGAAATTAATTGATTCCACAACAAAATTATTAGGCAATTCACTTTTATTTTGAAATGCAGTTGTTTATTTCAACACATGATGTTTCAATCAGGAGAGAATTCATTTTGTTTGAACATTTATGGACACATGCCATATGATAAGGTGCATGAACACCTGAAATCACAGCTGACTGCAGGAGAGAGGAGAACCATTTTATAGTTTGGCTGCAGCATGTTGATTGGCTGCTGGAGAATGAGGTGAAATGTAATAGGTTAAAGAGAACGCCTGTGATGAGCTGATTATATGCAGCTGTGGAGTGAATGTATATACACCCAGTCTTCCTGAAAGAACTTGCGCTGAGCTTCATTTCAATCTTGAAAAAAAAGATAAATAACACAAATTTAAATTGCCCCACAAATAATAAAAAAACACATTAGCCATATTACCATGGGACATGGGGACACAGCAAATACATGCTGCCATCACAACGAAGTTAGAGGCCTTTGCATATTTAAAACCAGTGCCAAATATGTCAAATCAAACAAACTCTCAATGGCCACCAGTCTGCAGATCACACACATCAATTTTACAAAAGATGTAACAAAGATGTTTACACTGCCGACAGTCATTATTTCAAACAGTATGAACACATTTAAAGCAAAATGCTTGCTCATTCATTTGTTTCCCTCGACCACGATGGTTGCCATCGTATGGTCAGATCCTGGGGTGGACCGGTCACTGATGAAGGCGATATTCATGTCCTTTTGAAGCACATGAAATAATAGGTTAGCGCATAAGAGATAATGAATTAGGTAATGCATACTTTTTAAACTGTCACTCTTAGCTAATTCAGAGCCACGGTGGTATTGTTTTCACCTATTGAGTCTGCATGTGTGTGTCGTCATGGCAATGTGGTCCTGAAGACACACAGAGGTGCTTTTGAGTACTTTGTGTTTAAATGCATGTGAACAGATTTTGTCAATCACAACCGTGCACGTTTTAGTGTATCTTCTCATCTGTTTTGCAGGTTCCATACAATATGTGAACTGGTTAAGAGAAGAGCAGAAGCCACTTTTCAAATGTTACACAATCCTTTCCCCATGCCATTGCTGTCAACACCTATCCATGCTGAACGTTGCTAAGATATTATTGATTGGGGTGTGGCCAAAAGTGCAATATGCTTCAAAATGTAGCTGACAGAGAGCAGTGCTTTTGTCAGAGAGCACTGTGCTCATGGATTTTATTTTATTTCAAGATTTTTAATTACGTCGCTAAACTCCTTGAAAAGGTCCTCTTCCTTTTCTCCAAGGTACACGACAAGGCAGCGGATGGCTATAGTTCTCTGCGTACTTCAATTGTATTGTGCTATTTTTTAAAAAGGAAAAAAAGAGAAATGACCTAAATGAATATATTCTGAATGGGTGACTGCCAACAACTTGCATTTCAATGACAACTCTAAATAACAATCCTACCTCAAGAAGTATGTCCTTGATCTGCTTCACCGAGATTCATTTTTAATAAAAAGCAATAGTAACCAAAGTATGTTTACTCTCACAGTAGCCTCTACTACTTTGTATCCTCTCACAGAACTATTCACAGTTCAAAGGCTGCTAAGTTTGCCTATACAGTGCAACTACAAGGCTATCTAATGTATTTGAATGACAAAAGAAGACACTCACCTTAAAATGTCCTTTGTATATTTCTATTTGTCTTAACTGTGGGAACTTGTCAAGGCATGTTAAGTGGGAGTGGACTTGAAATCCTTAACTCAAGGTGTAGAACAATTGCATTACTTACTACAACTTGAATTTTGTTTTAAGTCAATTAACGCAGAAATCAGAGTTCAAATTACACACAATATTAAGTTGATGTAATTACCAACATTATTACGTCAACACAACTTATAAATTAATGTTTGCAACTTAAAATGTTTATCTAAATCAATTAACTCACATTTTTATCTTGCAACCATGCATTTAATTAAGTGGAGGTGAAAGGTCGCCTGAATTCGTTTTTAGAGTGTAGGAAACATTTCCAATGTTATTTGTGCTTTTCTACATTTATGATAGCTTTAAGTTATTCTATTCACAGGATAATGAAGGGTAAGAGCTTGCTCTCTCTTTTCTGTGCTTATTTTAATTAACCTTACTTTCAAAAAGTCAATTTCGAAGTGCACTCAGCAGAAAAGAAAACAAATAAAAGGAGAATGGGTCAATTAAAAGCTTCATATAATTTATTCAAAATTAGTTTCAGATTTATTTAATCTTAATTCAAGTATTTCTACTGCTACTAGTAATACTCTCCTTTAATGTGGAACCACGGTTTTGATGTATTTAGATTATTTTGCCTTTATTCAAATCTCTTTTGTAAAACACATTTTGAGCTGAATGAGACCTGTTCGAATAAATTATTGTATTTTTGAAACTATTTTACCCAATTATAATAGTAATGAAGACAAAAAAGCTAAATCTCTCTCCTTTTTTCTCAGGTCATTTTTGAAGCTGAGGCTTCGGACGGCGCCGGCTTCATCGCCATCGACGACATTCAGGTGCTCAGCTATCCATGCGGTGAGTCATTAGCATTGCCAGCAATTAGTCCTAGTTCGCTGAATAGCGGCTGATAGCTTTGGCCACTAATTAGACTGTACCTGGGATGGTTTCTGTTGCACTTGAATGGCTAGATAAGTGGGAAGGTGACACAGTGAGGGAGGGATGCGGCGAGAAGAGAAGACAAGTCGTGGAGAAATATGAGAGAAATAAAAAAAGGGGAAAGAGATCGGGGAAGAAAGAGGGAAGAGGAGAAAGTGAAGCGGGAAATGAGACAGTATTAGGGCAATCATAGAGAGAGAAGATTCTGACCACTCAGCAGTTTCCCTCTCTCTTTAACACACACACACAGTGAACAGTAGCTGTCTTGTCTCACGCTGACAGGAAAGAGATGAGGGCTGCGATCCATTTTAAATTCTCGCTACGTCTCAAATCGTCTTCTCTCCTTCGCTTGAGTGTTTCCTTACTCCCAGAGGGCAGAAAAGAGTTGCGACCGCAAAATGTTACCGTTAACAGAAGGGTCTGTTAATCTCAGGCCTCGGGCAGTTCCTGGAGGGTCTGTGTGTTGGATAGGATGCAATTACAACTCCTTTTGGTCATCTGTCTTGTAGCCGCACTGAAATCTCTGAGGACAATTGTAGTTTCTTAATAGATTCTATTGATTAAAAGTCATAAAGATAAACTGTCCTGCACCGCCCTCTTGTTCCATTTGTGAGGTCCGAGTATGTCTGTTTTCCCTTTCCCTGTCAGGAGGTAGCATTATGAACCTGACAGAAATTACAGGACATTCATTCTGTCAATAAAGTTACCTGCAATCCGAAAATAATACAAATAAATAAGCGCCCCAGTTTGTTAAAGGCGGAAGAGCAGGACTCCTAATGTGAGAGGGGCAAGTATTTGAAAAGGAATTAGTACTCCACAGTGGAAGCATTCATTCTCACAGCTGCATTTCTGGACACACAGGTTTGTGTGTGTGTGTGTGTGTGTGTGTGTGTGTGTGTGTGTGTGTGTGTGTGTGTGTGTGTGTGTGTGTGTGTGTGTGTGTGTGTGTGTGTGTGTGTGTGGTGTGTGTGTGTGTGTGTGTGTGTGTGTGTGGTGTGTGTGTGTGTGTGTGTGTGTGTGTGTGTGTGTGTGTGTGTGTGTGTGTGTGTGTGTGTGTGTGTGTGCACGTGCGTGTGCGCGTGCATGCAGGCTAGTCTGCGAGTGTGTGTTTTCATTCACCATAGTAGCTGCTATCTATGATTGCAATCACCTCCCCAGAATAAGAATATGATAGCTGAACTGGATCTTCAGGGTGTGAAAAGCTTATTTCATGTCGTTAGGAATCTGGAGATATCAGAATTATACATACTGGATGTGACATTGATGTTACCCCCCAGTGGCGATGCAGCACCGCGCTTCATCTGACTCCAGTAAAATCTAATCTCAGTAATAATAACCTCCTTGGTGGAGGTAACAATGAACCTGAGGGTTTGAAAATGTCCTGAAATGTACTCAGTGCGTGATAACCTGACCTGTTTGTCTTTATAACTCCCTCTGGCTCTGTCACCTTGTTTCCACTTCTTTTAACAGACAACTAATAAACCAAAAACATTTACAAATACAAATGCATACTGTTAACCTTGCTGTAAACTCAATGTAAGTTGTCTAAACCTCATTTGCTCTGTAGATAAATCTCCTCACTTTCTTCGTCTCGGGGATGTGGAGGTGAACGCCGGACAAAATGCCACATTTCAATGTATCGCTACAGGACGAGAAACATCCAACAACAAACTCTGGCTGCAGGTAAAACTATACACATGCACCACCATTAAAACAGCCTACTGCTATGGGGTGAATAAGAAATGATTGCTACACATTAATACTGTATTGCTGCAATGTGCCTGTTTTTATAGACAACAAGTCAACATGTTTTCATACTTAGGTTGTATGGTAAATAGCCCTGAAGATAGTTTTGAGATATTTTTCACCCTCTCAAATATGTCTTAGTCAGCACTGAAACATTTCAAATAACAAAATGTATCCCCATGTACTGATTCAAGATATAGTTGAATGGTTAGATAATACACAACAGATTTAATCGGAACTATACTCAACCCAAGATAATAATCATGTAAACAGTTTGATGCTCAGCACTGTGCACCGCAAACTTTTTAAATTGGTAGAGGCAGAAATCATAGCTCAACAATTTGCTAAATCTACATGGATGGATGCCATTCGGTGGAAATGGAAAACATGTTTTCTTTTGTCATTTGGGTAAACTAGCCCTTTAACATGAGACTTTTAATCCTTACTTAATGCATTACAAATGGAAACAAAAAATACATTAGCTTGCACCCAAAATGATGGTTTAGAAATAGACAAACACAAAGAAATGAAACGTGGCATTCAGTGTGCCATCCTCTGGACTGGTTCATCCAATAATAGTGTGTCATACTCACACACACACTCACACACACACACACACACAGAGAGCGACCCCCGGGCCATACATCCTAGCAGCTAACGTGATTAAGAGTTTAATAGCTGCTGATTTCATTACGGCTCTATTGTAGTCATGACCTTCAAACCTGCTGTCAGTGAGGCAGAGGGGGGTGTGTGTGTTTGTGTGTGTGTTTTCGGTGTGTGAGTGTGAGAGTGTGTGTGTGGTCCTGTGCTGCCTTGTGACCTAGAGCAAGGCAGTTTAACCCTCTACCAGCCTCTGCAGACCCTGATGTCTGTCTGCGTTTTTCTTCTGTGATTCAGAGGAGAAACGGAGAAGATATTCCCGTGGCTCTGACCAAAAACATCAACCACAGACGCTTCGCCGCCACCTTCCACCTTAAAGAAGTCACCAGTCAGGACCAAGACCTGTACCGCTGCGTCACCCAATCAGATCGCGGCTCCGGGGTTTCCAACTTTGCGGGTCTTATCGTCAGAGGTGAGTACTTTTCTTAAATATAATTTCAAGGTAATTTAATTGTTTTGCTATCCCTGCAGTACTTTTGTTTTATTTTGTTTTCTCTGAGTTATTATTTGATACCTAGCTTTCAATAGTGGTTAAAGCTGCTCGGGTGAAACACTATTGTATAAATATCCCTCATGTTACCCCACAAACTTATATAGTAATTCATTGATATGCTCACTTTTGGCCATGAAGGTCAACACCAGGTTACTTATTATACTGTAGTAAGCTAATAGGTGGCAATGCTAGCATTTAAATGTTTAGGCTATGTTAAAGACCAAACAAACACACAATTGTATACATTCCTTACATTTTAGCTCAGGCTTTTGTTCGTTTAACAATGCAAAAAATAATGAATGGGTAAGATAATATCAACAAGCTCTACCTCTAATACCACTTCACCATTTGGGGAAATCCATTTCCTGAAGCAACCGTTGGAAAATAGCTAAAGCTGCTAAGCTAATATTAAACAATCGCACTTTTTTCAGTAATCTGTTATAAAGTTGATTTGAATCTTTCGATGACCCTTGACCCAGTTGTATATATGGTGTTATGGGTAACTTCATATTGTGTTTAACTTTTGAAAAATGTTGAATGTTGTCTTTCCAGTCAAATGTGCACTCACTGTGTCTGACTGATAAAATATAAGTCGCTAACACAATAATGAGGTGTGTGTGTGTGTGTGTGTGTGTGTGTGTGTGTGTGTGTGTGTGTGTGTGTGTGTGTGTGTGTGTGTGTGTGTGTGTGTGTGTGTGTGTGTGTGTGTGTGTGTGTGTGTGTGTGGTGTGTGTGTGTGTGTGTGTGTGTGTGTGTGTGTGTGTGTGTGTGTGTGTGTGTGTGTGTGTGTGTAAATGGAAGCTGTGCGTGCTACAGCTGTCATGTGCAGCTGACATGTGGTTAATAAGGTGTCACCAATGTGTGTTTGAGACGGGATGCTTTATTCATTCACATCCAATACCTTACATATTCAATTCATCTCCCAGAGAGAGAGAGACAGGGGGAGGAGGGCAGAGCGAGGGGTGAGGGCGAAAGAGATTCAGAAAGAATGATAAGGGAGTGACAGAGAGGAGGAGGGGGAGAGATACGGAGGAAGAGGAGGGGTGTGCAAAGAGAGAAGTGGAGATGGTGAAGAAAAGTGAAATGTAAATAGTCTGCTCATTAGCTCGAGAATATCCATATCAGAATCAGGAATATGTCTGAATATGTAAACAGCCGAGCTGAGTTGTGTGTAGTATTCTGCATAAGGAATGGCAGAGGAGAAAAGAAATGAGGAATCAAAGCAGAAGCCAGCAACATGAATATTAATTTCAGCTGGCGTGGCTCAGATAATGGAGCTCTCACACTGTCCAGGTTAAAGGTTTGAATCCATGTCACCTGAGCAAGGGACTATCATCGCTTTACTTAGGGTTACAATCCCCACTGGGAGGGTTCCCTCTTTGGTCAAGAACACATGGCGTTTTTTGAGACGCCCTCTTCTGCAGGACCTCGCTGAAGTGGTAAGAATACATAAGTGGCTAATGTTTATTTATCATGAACATCTTTTTTTGAGTTTGAGAAGGAAGAGGGATGAAGGATCCGCTCAGCAAGAGGCATGTGTCTTAACATGAATAGGACTAATCTACATAATGAAAATAGACTCAGGTTCAGTGTGGCGCACTGAGCGGCGTGTGTGTCGTAGCCAAAGTCTGTCACTTTCTCAATATGTGGAAAGATGCTTCTGGAGCTCTGAGGGTTATTGTCGATTGTGAATATTGATCCAGAGTCTGGTTGTTAGAAAGATATCACAATAAAAGAATAAGCGCTGCATGTATGAATGTGGAGAGGAGCCTCATGTTTATTTATTAGAAATATCAGATGGGAGATGAGAGCCAGAGACAAATCAAAGGAACAGGGAACATGTTCATAATATTTCTTGAAAAGTATGCCTGTTGGAGATTTGAGATTCTCTGCAGGACACTGACGACCGTGAATATGGACAGAGTTAAGCTGCATTATTGATATTTATGCTTTGAATATTTATTTATCCTGGAAATTAAAAGGATAAAGAAAAATGAGGGGGGATTTATGGAGGAATCTGCTGAACCGGAAAATGTGAGTTTTGACTCATAAGAAAGTGTCAAAATATGCCTTAAAAATGTTTTGGCAGCAGGACAGTAACCCAGGTTTCATTTCCAAAGCCTTGAAGTGGTCTGCTGGGTGGAGGGAGATTGCAGGTACGCACAGGCCTATTGATATTTATAACATGTAGATGACAGAGATGTGCCATTATCGGCTTCCTCTGTGTGTGCTGGAGCTGTCAAGATCAGAGAAAATAAGCACATTTCATAGAGGCAGAGGTGCATTATGGGAGCATGAAAAGGAGTGACATGGGATTGCCAGATATAATGTATGTTATTATACTTGATGATTGATGATTTTGGCTCCTCCTTGAGCAGAAAATAAAAAATTCAGTTTTAATTTAACTTTGTCAAGTTTCTTTCCAATTATTTAATTATTGGCTTAGTTTACACATTGGCAGAAAAATGCCCAAGTATAAGGTTGCTTTTTTTATCCAAGTTATACAGAGATATTCACTTGATAGAAAGCTCTACTTTTTAATTAACAAACACAAAACACAGCCAACTCTCTCATTTGACTTTGGCATGTACATCTCAAAACTAGCCCTGATATACCCATGTTTCAGTAGCCTAACAATACAGTGACTTTCTTCAGTTCCCTGTTATTTAAGCATAAACTAATCAATGTTTTCTACAAATTCCTTATTTTTAAACTTCTCAAATTTTAAATAGTATCCAAACACAAAAAGCTATGCACCATCTCTGCCTGAACAAAGCAGTTTCTGATCAAGTCACACATTTACAAATAGTATGAGACATGCAATGCCACCTTTAGAAAATCTGCAGTATTTAGTCATTAGTGTAAGTTCGTTACACAGCCCTCAAAACAAGAGGGATGGACAAGTTAAACTGTCAATGACCAGTTCATAATTATTTGTTGGTGTGGGAGAGACTCACTGTGTGTCTGTGTGTGTGTCTGTGTGTGTGTGGTTAATGTGTTTATGTGTGTGTCACTAGATGTTTGGTCAGTCGAACTCTAATAAAGCCTTGCCCTCTGGTTCTTGCAGTGACATCACGCCAGCTCGTATCACACTCACACACACACACACACACACACACACACACACACACACACACACACACACACACACACACACACCCACACACACACATCATGCCAGCTTGCATTACACGCAATCCATGGCCTAAAAAGCTCGTACAATATTACTGTCACACACAAACACACATGTAACCTAATCTGAGGATGCACAACTGACTTGAATCAATACAACTGTCTTAAACCTCTGATGGTCCACTTTGAAAATGTCTCTTTCTCCTTTATTACCCATCACACAGGCACACACACACACACACACACACACACACACACACACACACACACACACACACACACACACACACACACACACACACACACACACACACACACACACACACACGCTCACTAAGTTATAGTGACAGGTGAAGCTTCAGGCATTATGGAACTATAGAAAACCTACAACCACTGCCGGCTATCGATACTGTGTCTGAAACACACACACACACACACACACACACACACACACACACACACACACACACACACACACACACACACACACACACACACACCTCTTGAGGTCAGTTGTCCTGCAGTAAGCCATGGTGATGTCTGCAGCAGTTTATGAAAAGTAAACTTTATTGACAAGTTTGCTGACGATGGACAACAAAGAAGAGTGTGCCTAGTGGGCGCATGTCACCAACAACATTCCTTTCTTTTGTTCTTTCGTTATGTTGTTCTGACTTGTTGTTTGTTTGCTGCATCATAAATCTTAAATCAGACAATCTACCAAACCCTCCTCCAAAGCCTCTGGAGGTTTTTCAATTCTAATATGAGTGAAGAAAGTGAGTGACGGTGAAAACTAATCAAGCAGATGGGTTAGGTCAGAAAACGACACACACACACTTGAAGTCTTCCCCAAGCTGATTTGTTTTGTTATTATCATTTACATGTGACCCATAAAAGTGAGGAATGATGAGAGGGTTCACACGTGATTAATAATACAAAAGATGCTGACAACAAACCCATCTCAAAACAACAGCATTGATGATTTGTTAGATTTTTTTAGGTCAACTGAACAAATGACAAGTGATGGAACAAAAAAAGAAAGAAAATGAAACGTTTGAACCCGTTCCAGCTTTTGTTTTCTCCGGAGTCACAAAATGACCCACTTACTCCCAATACAGTTTCATTTAATGTGTGTTATTTATCTTTTAGATATTCAAGAGATTTAAAGTAACACACAAACATGGATGCAAGTAAACACACAGGCTGAGAGCAGACAATAATACTGTTTTGTAGCTTGGATACATTTATCTTTGTGGGTTTTTGCTTTTGTTAATCATCAAGTTGTTTACTTTGTTTATTTGATGGCGTTGCGAGCTGACATGTTGTTGACGTTGTAGGTTTTCTGAAGTCACTTCAACATTCATTATCTGGATTCAACTCTATGAGTGTGTGTGTGTGTGTGTGTGTGTGTGTGTGTGTGTGTGTGTGTGTGTGTGTGTGTTTGTGTGTGTGTGTGTGTGTGTGTTAGCATGTGCTGTCAAACTACAGTGTTTCATCTGTTGCTAAAAAGACACTTCCCAGCCTGCACCTCTCTGACAGCCATACTCAACACACACACACACACACACACACACACACACACACACACACACACACACACACACACACACACACACACACACACACACACACACAGAGAAAAGAGGAGACAGCAACGCAAAATAAAGATTTGAAAGGAACAACATGCACAGTATCACACATGCACACACACATAATATAGATAATACTTACTTTGATATGATATGATTGAAGCTGGTTTGCAAATACAAAAAAAAGAAAATGCTCTCCTATCTTCATACTGATAGCAACATTGCCTTGTGGTGTTTGAGAATGTGGCTGCGAGAGATAAAATCCGTATGATTTACTGTATGTGTGTGTGTGTGTGAGACGAGTGTTTGTGATTAATTCATGTTCTGATCTGTGTGTGTGTGTGTGTGTATACGTCAAGTAGATAAATCTGTGATGATGCGTGTTTTAAGGTTGTGTGTGTTGTGCTTTCGGCGTGTCAATCACAGATGCGTGACAGTTAGCTCTGATCTGACTGACTGGCCCTGAACCATCAAACATCCATCACATTTACGTGATAGTACACACACACACACACACACACACACACACACACACACACACACACACACACACAAACAGTATTTATAAACTGGGAGCATCATAGGACGTAGTTCATGGCTGAATTGCAAGGCATGCGTTGAATGAAAACTACAGATAATGCAATCAAATGATATAATTATAAACACATCATTGCTCATGCAGTTGTCTCTATAGTTTGTGTTACACATAAACAATATTGTAATGGCTCCTTTTATGAAATACAGGATCATTTATTGTCATTCTGCAAAACAGGGTTGGACACCAAATCCTAGTCGTAGTCCATTTTTCTTTTTTTTTAAGAAAAACATTATGAAACATGTAATGGAATAGCCTCAGGTCCTAGCTTGGTTAGCCTACTTCCCAATGGGGGGTCATTGTGAGTAGCTGATGGTGATTATCCCTTCCTGTTTCCCTTGGTAAACCATACCAATTTAAAAAAACGGGGAGACAAAGAGAAGCAGCCCAATTACAGAAAGAGTTGGTAAGCTTTTTGTAAAATTGACTTGACGTTGGGATACATACACCAATTGGGAACTGTGATCAAAACCCCTGATCTTCAATCCAAATGCATTTTAATTGCAGTTAGCAAGTCATTTCTAACCAAAGCCGACTGTAGACGAACACAGCATTGCTTTAATCTAATGCAAATGTAATATGTAGGCGTCATGTCTTGTATTTAGAATTCACAACATAAATCTGATGAGGTTGCACTTTGGATTAACTTAAAGGCAGCAGCAGCAGGTACTGAAATGCATTTGAACCACTTCCATGAAGAGGGTTAAAGCCAAGAGGAGATCCTTCTCATAACCGATCACTCAATTACATTTCTGAGCATGACCAGGGGCAGAGGAGGTTAACTTGTTATCATTCCCTGCTTGTGCACTGATGGACTTTACAAAGTAGGCAGCAGAAAACGCTCGCTAATAATATTAAATGATGAAACCGATGAGAAAATGTATTGGAAGATTCACTCCGATAGCCAAATCTATCACTCATGCAGCCTGTGAAAGAACACTCTTCTTCCCCCGTCATGTCATTACTTTAAAACTCAAAGCAGCTCTTTCACCTCTGGCACCAAAGCTAAATATCACGCTAGCATTGAAACTCTTTCCATCGTTTCCCGCCATGTCTGAATTAAGCTAAAGGGACATTTACATTACAGACACATGAAAAACAAAAAAGAATATAACTTTATAAAGGCAAAGCCGGCACATTTGCATATTCCATGTGTGAAAGGGAATCAAAGTATGGACCACTACGGAAAAAGCTTCTGAAGCTGCTTCCCAATAAAAGCCTTCCACTCCGTCGTTTTGAAGGTGGAAGGCTTTTGATGTGAAGCAGCTGCGGAGGGCGTGTTTGCATTAATATTAACTTCATTATAACTCCGACAGCAGGAGAGTCAATGCATTAAACAACATTTCAATTCAAAGATGCAAAGGTTGTTATATGCACGGCGATGTGCACACAGCGTAGTTCGCAATCAGAATCTAAAGTCCCAGAGTCCTCCGACAGTGTAACATATTATATACTTCAGATATAGTGCAAGTGACACATATTGCTAGTTGTGTTATATATAAAGTTTGGGTCTTTGCGTGTCTACAAAAGCACTCTATTAATGTAAAGTAGTATTCAGTTATTGTAAGTTAGAAGGTAGGAACAGGAACATTTAAGCAAAACAGCACAACAGCTAAACACAATAGATCTCAACATATTGCTAATCCCTAGCATGATATCTAGCCAATTAGCTCTCCATTACTTACACACCGCTTGGTTGTCATAATATTGCAGGTCAGTGCAGTTTCCACTTGTTTGGATGTCCCTTACAATTTGCTCCATTAGTGCAGTTAATATAAAGTCTAAACGAAAATCCCTTCAGCTGTTACACCAACTAGGCTTCGTGTCACAGCGGCTACATCATGTTGTCTCTACACTCTCGTGTGACCTTTTTTTTCTTGTGAGGCATTTTGAATACTCTTTTTATGATCTTGTTCTTTGTTTTTCCTCCTCAGAGCCTCCGCACCCCATCGCCCCGCCCCAGCTGCTGGGTGTCGGCCCCACATATCTGCTGATTCAGCTGAATGCTAACTCCATATTTGGAGATGGACCTATTATACTAAAAGAGGGTAAGGTTCAGTAAGAGACATTGTGTAGTTGGGAAGCATTAAACAACCACAACAATCACCTTATCCCCAAAAGTAAACAGATAGACTGACTTCTGTATCAACATGTTTAAACTAACAAGGGTATTTCATTATTATATTACCTCTCATTACTTCTTTAAGCAGCATTTTAACTGTTAATGTTGGACTAATGTATTACATTTGATTTGATTTATTTTGAATGTGTAAACAATAATACAAAAATGTAACATGAGAATTATTATACAATACAACATTTCAATAACATAATTTGTGATCATGTATACACACAAATGGTCATAAATAATGTCACTAAAATATGATTAGAGTTCATTTCAGGTGTTTTATAGTGAAAACTACTTTAACAAGGTGACAACTGCCAAGAACCTTTTCTTAATACAACACTATTCCTTTAAGCTAATATTCTTTTTGGTTCCCTGTCTGACATTTACATTCATAGTGAGCATAACATCAGATTAATACCAAATACTCAAATAACTCTAATGTGTGATTTCTCTCCTTTCAGGTTGAGTACCGCATGACATCAGGCAGCTGGATTGAGACTCACGCCGTCAACTCTCCAAACTACAAGTTATGGCATCTTGACCCCGACACAGAGTACGAGGTCCGAGTGTTACTAACCAGACCAGGAGAGGGTGGGACGGGCAAATCTGGACCCCCACTCATCACCCGGACCAAATGTGCAGGTAGGAAATGCTGTTTTTGTTTAATAAACGTAAGCAATTTGTGATATATATATATATAAAGAAAACAACAACTATTATTTTTGCAACAATGCAAAAATAATAGTTTTCCATTATAATCCTTACACATACACATTTTCCTTATACCTTTGATTATAGTGAATGCCATGAAGTTGTATTATAAACATGTATGTCCACCTAAAATATGAGAAATTGTCTTCTGCAAGAATAAAAGGTAAGTAACTGGAGCCTGCTTGTGCAACACAGCTTTGTCTCCCTGTCTGATTATCTATCGATCCGTCTGTCTACTGTTGGTTTTTTTGGTCCATATATCTATATTTTAGTTTGTGGAGTGATATTTATACTATGAGCAGGCAGGGAGAGGGGAGGAGAGGTGTAGTGAGGGAGAGAATTGGAGAAAAAAGGAGTGGGAGAGCCTGAGTCAGTCCGTGGTTGCTCACTGATCTGAGAGAAAGAGTGATTACAATACTGGAGGCTCTCCACCTTTTCTCACTTGTATCCTGCTTTTTCTTTCCTTCTCTCACTCCTTCATTCTCTCATATCTCCCATCTACCTCTCTTTCTACTTCGTTCCTTTTGGCTGCCCTCCCCCCCTCTTTTTCTCATTGCCTCTCCCCCCCCCCCCCCCGTCTCTTTCCCTCTCTGTGGATCAATAGTCGGAGGGCAGAAACACTGTCTGACATTTGTAGAAATAAACGACTGAAATATAAACACAGCTAGCCTGAGGGGGAGAGACGGAGCGAGGGAGAGAGGGTTGATATGCGAGAGAAAGAGACAGAAAGAAAAGCAGTGAGTTTGAATGAGAAAGAGAATCAAGGAGTGATGGAGAGATGATGAAAAACAATAAGGCCCGGAAAGAAAAGGAGGAGAATAGAGGCGGCAGCGGGGAGAAAGAGCGCGAGAGAATGATGAAACTGGAGAATGGAAATGAAAGAGAGATGAAAACTCATAACCACAGGGCCTGACTGATGTCTGCCAACCTGTGTGTGTGTGTGTGTGTGTGTGTGTGTGTGTGTGTGTGTGTGTGTGTGTGTGTGTGTGTGTGGTGTGTGTGTGTGTGTGTGTGTGTGTGTGTGTGTGTGTGTGTGTGTGTGTGTGTGTGTGTGTGGTGTGTGTGTGGTGTGTGTGTGTGTGTGTGTGTGTGTGTGTGTGTGTGTGTGTGTGTGTGTGTGTGTGTGTGTGTGTGTGTGTGTGTGTGTGTGTGTGTGTGTGTGTGTGTGTGTGTGTGTGTGTGTGTGGTGGGGGGGGGTTATTGACAGAGAGGAAGTCATAGACTTGTTCAGGCGACTCATGTATTGAACAGTTTCCTGTTTGACAGGAAAAGGAAATGAATCTTCCTCTCCTCACTCACGCAGGAACACATTTGAGTGAAAGACGATAGCTCTTTGTAATCCACACAATGTGTTGATATCAGACCAAAAGCAGGGAGATCTGTTTATGAATTGAGAGACTTACATCATATCATCCTGTGTATCTGAATAATGTGCATACTGACAAAGCAAAGAGAAAGATCGTCAATCTTTCATGGTCTTTGATTTCTACTCTAATGAATTTCAGACACTACAGTAGCACTGCAGCGATTGTCCCAATGAACAATGTAGTTTAATGTTTTCAAACTATTAATAGAGGGTATGCAAACATTCTGCTTATAGGCAGAGACTGTTGCAATGAATTTACTAGAAAAAACAGGTGTTTATTATTTGAAACCGAAAAGAAAAATGTCCACAGGTTCCAGAAGAAGATAGTTCTTAAAAGACACAAGCAGCGGTTTGATTGGCTAGAGCTTGTACTGGCATATGATTCGATTGGCTGACGCTTCTGCCGAGGCGTCAAAAGTTGAACATTGCTCAACTTTTGCAGCGAGCCACGCCAGCAACGCTCCGCGTCGCTTCCCACGATGCAGTTCGGCTAAAAGTGACGTCACCCCATTCAAAGTGAATGGGCAGAAGCGTTGGAAGCTTCAACGCACGCCGCTGTGTGGACGGGCCGTTAGTGTCTTGTTTATCCTGCTAACAAACAAACAAACCAAAAACATAACTTCCTTATCAGATTTAAAGATGTTACCTTTTCTTTTTGGATCTGTGTTAGTAACATAATGCTGCTCGAGGTTGCAATGCCAAGTATGGCCACTGGTGTTCCCGCTAATTGCCAACCTCACAGTGACAAACCCAAACAAGAAATAGTCAAGCCCATAATATCCTGTGAAAAAAAAGTTAAGGTTTTTAAACTTTGGCTTTTTTCACAAATAACAAAAACCAGACATAATACTGGCATGTTAAATAGTGGACCTTAGAAGTACTAACACACCTTACAGCGAGGCAATCTGTTTCCCCTTTAAGCTCAGCTAAGCTAACAGGTTGTAGCCTCATATCACATATAACCTGCAGAAAGGAAATAAGCACACTTCCAAAAATGTCAAAGTATTCCTCTGAAAAATAAAAATTCTTATTTTGCCTGTTTTTAAATGCCTTTTTAATAATGTATTTGTTCTTAAATGTCGTTCGCTTTTAATCTGTAAAGCACTTTGAATCGCCACGTGCTGAAAAGTGCTCTATAAATAAAATTGCCTTGCCTTATTTTAAGTGAGGTAAATCCCTATCCTGTGTCCCACAACTCATTTGCATACATTGAAACACACAAAATCCCTTTGCTAAATCCAACACTATATAAATTGGCCACAATTCTTCTACTCCCTGACAATTTCTGACGAATCCCTTCCTGTAGTTCTCAAACCTGATGTATCAGCACACTCACACTAATGTGGATATGTGTTTGTTGAGATACAGACACACACACGGGGTAGAAATGTTATTTAAATGGTAATGATTCCTTTGCTTTTTCTGTTTGGTTAGGATTGTCTGATCCCGCCACCTGTAGTTTACTGAATATTCAGTTTGATTTCAAAATGATGAAGACATGCACACTCACACACACTGCACAAACACCACGAAATAGTGTTTAATTAAAAACCAACAACGGTAATAAGATGCACAGCAGAAATCACTGCAGAGCAATTGATATAAGAGGGATGATTTCATCTCTCTCTCGTTTCATCTCTTCTTCTACTACCCTTTATTTGTCTTCTGTCTTCTTCTTTCTCTTGTTCCTTCTGTCTCCAATTCCTCTCAATTTTTCTTCTTTTGTGATTCATTGCTCATGTCAAAAGGGTGAAAAATAATCAACTTGAAGAGAAAAGTGAGTGATTGTGTGTGTGCATGTGTGTGTATAGTATGTGTGTGTGAGTTGATGAAGTAGCTTTTAATCCAAATCCTACACTTTCTGCTGAAAACCTTTTGGTCATGGCAGGTTACACACACACACACACACACACACACACACACACACACACACACACACACACACACACACACACACACACACACACACACACACACACACACACACACACTCACTCACTTACAGGCATGGTCAAACACAGAAGAGTGACACACTAAGCAGTACCGAGATGGAGAGAAATGTACACACACACACACACACACACACACACACACACACACACACACACACACACACACACACAGTTCAGAGAGCCACAGTATTTCTCGTATGTTGTACAAACTCAGCATCACTTGGATTAATGGAAGAATGGAATCACACATTTCCAGACACACAGGCACAGATGTAGCAGGAATCACACACAATATATCAAATGTACTTCTTTCTATATATTGAAACACACACACATGCACACACACAGTCAGCACTGTGATGCTTTAGGGGTCAGACCCTTGAAATGGCTTCAACAGTACAGTCCACTGTGTGTTCATGTGGTAGATTATGGAACATTTGAAGAGTTAGCTTTTTCCTGGATCATTTTCCAGCCACATGCAGATGCTTAGGTGGAGAAGAGAAGCCTGCAATTCTATTAGGTATACATATAAAGATATATTTTGTGTAAGAACTGGAAATATATACTTAAAGGACAAATAGCAAAACATCTCAGAACTCCAAAAAAAATGGAATAACATTGCTGCAATACTTTACCATTTGCAACCAACAAAGAACTGCTAACAGAGCACTTATATACTAATAAAGGACTGGCTTATCTAAAGCCAGTTGAGTAGCACTTGAAATGTTTGGCTCTATGAAACCTGATGTACTTTTATGATTCTGTTTTCTTCAAGGTTGTGTCTTCCTGGTCGAATGTACTTATTGTAAGTCGCTTTGGATAAAAGCGTCAGCTAAATGTAATGTAATGAAACGAAAGGAGGCGTGGATTGTGACCTAAATTGGGCTGTTTTCGTTCTTAGCTAATTAAGGATACTCTATGCAAATGTCAAGACTCATAGAAAACAGGACATTTGATAATGTGAACCAGAATTGGCGTAATATTTGAGGGGTGAGTGCACTGTAAACCCTGCACACAAAGGATTATCAGGAGTCCTGCCAGAGATACATCTTTGGTTTTTGAAGTGTAGGTCAGATTTTGATTTGATTTATTACAACAAGGATGTATCGCAACACTAACTCAACGTATCGTACACGATCAGGCCCCTTCATGCTTTAATTATATTCCTGTGTTTAAATTATTTCTTTGACTTTGTGATATGAGTGATGGTGAGAAGGTCGGGTTGTGTTTCACTACTCATTAAGTCAAAAGGAGAAGATGCATGAACATGCCTATGCACATAACCTTCAAGGTATGACATACCACCTCAACAAAGTATACACTTCATTTTAATTAAATCTTTATAAGTTGTTTCAAGCATTTATTTCTCATATACGGAGAAGTTTGTTCAATGACTCGTTACCTTAACCAACCTGCTTATTGTGACTAAATCTTCTTTTTCTTACCTTTCTTCTTTACATTCATTTTGTTGAGCTTGTCAGGATGTCCTCGGGGTCTTGAAAAGTATTACAAGTTGATCAATCAATTTAGCGAAAATGAAGGCTATTAAAAAGTATTAAACGGCATTTTCCAAGGTATCACATTTTGTATCTTGTTTTCAATAAGTATATAAATTGTCCAAAGAGGTTGTATTCTACAGTCTGCCTGAATGTAATCATTGCGTAGGTGTGTAGTGTGATTCTGTGTAGTTTATTTATGGCATCCCGTTGGATTTGACGTCATCTGAACAGGACATCGCACGCTCACTGCTTGATAGCACGAAGGCCCGTTTACGCCGGTTGTTAAACAACATCGTTATGGGGAAATGCAAGTTTGCGTCCAAATGGTTGGAAGATAAGGAGGAAAGACAATCAATACTGTGTATAGTAAATGTGAGGTAAAGTGTGTCGCCAAGGTAACCGGTTAGAACTCAAAGTGGCGATGAGGTCTTAAAATGTATGGAAAGGGTCTTAAAGAAAGTCTTAAAAGGTATTACATCTGACTTCAGGATTCCTGCATATACCCTGGCTTGTTGATGTGTGACATATCCCACCACTTAATGATATCTAAACCCTTTTTGATATTTATCTCCTAATTATCCTCTGCTTTGGCAAATCAAATTTCACAGAGTGTAAATTGAATGAATGAATGCTGCGGCGCACATTTTGCACCTTTCATGTGCTTAAACCTGGCCCATAGAGAGACCATGCAGAGAGAAAATGAGAATTAGAGACTGAATTCATAACGGGAGTTTCATTTGTCTTCCTCATGACAGTGGAGGGATTACCGTGAACTAATTGGACAGATTAACTTGGATTTAGCTGCATCTCCTGTCAACCTTTTCTGTATCCCCCTCCCCTTCTCTTTCCTCCATTCTTCTCTGCTCTTCCTTAAGCTTCTTTCTCCTGCTCTATGTCTTCTTTACTTTATACTTATTGGCACCTTCTAATGCTTCACATTGAGGGACAGGGTATTTATTTGTTGCCCTCTGCATACTTGTATTTCATTTAGTTTCATTTCCTTTCCTTTTGTTTCCCCTTCTTTTTAATTCCAACCTCTGGATTGGGCTGATATGAAGCTTGCCGTCCTCGGTGTTATTGTTGGTGTTTATTGGTATTGTTGTTGTTTTCAAAGCTCCATCTGTGGAGAACAAAGCCTTTTAGTTCCAACATGAATCCCGCCGTTTGTATGTCTACCGGAGGAGGGAGAAGGGGGACAAGGCAGCCTCTGTGGCTTACCGTTGGACCGGGTCCCGCTCCAGTCTGGCCACGTTCCAAACTAGTTATCGTCTCTCCCCGTTCCTCCTCTCGGCTTCTTTCTCTCCCTCTCTCATCTTCCTCTCCCGTTTCTCTCTCTGCTCCTTTTATCCGTCCCTCGCTCCCTGCAGCCCCGGTTTCATTTCTCCTCGCATTGCTTTGTTTTTCCACTCTTCTTTACTCATTTTCTATGCTACTCTTTTTGCCTTCCTTCATTCGTTCTTTCTTTCTTATTGTCTTCCCTCCATGTGTTCATATTCTTTCATTGCCTCTCCTCCCACCTTGCCTTCTACCCTCTTTCACTATCTCCAGTCAGTAAATAGACAAAGATAAGCAGCAGTGCATTGTGGGCAAGGAAGGGAATGGGGTTTTGAAAAGCGTGTGTGTGTGTGTGTGTGTGTGTGTGTGTGTGTGTGTGTGTGTGTGTGTGTGTGTGTGTGTGTGTGTGTGTGTGTGTGTGTGTGTGTGTGTGTGTGTGTGTGTGTGTGTGTGTGTGTGTGTGTGTGTGTGTGTGTGTGTGTGTGTGTGTGTGTGTGTGTGTGTGTGTGTGTGTGTGTGTGTGTCAGACAGCGAGTCATATATTTTGTTTTAATTCCATGTTGAAGAGCATCTCACTGTGAAGCGCTGTTAGCATCAAGAGACCCCGAAATCAATACAATTTATTACACTGCCTTAACCCTGTGTGTGTGTGTGTGTGTGTGTGTGTGTGTGTGTGTGTGTGTGTGTGTGTGTGTGTGTGTGTGTGTGTGTGTGTGTGTGTGTGTGTGTGTGTGTGTGTGTGTGTGTGTGTGTGTGTGTGTGTGTGTGTGTGTTTCTCCATGTGTGTATATGGCTGTGATTGTCCTAATAGCAAGGTTGATGGTGAGGATCAAAGGTATTGATTCAAACAGGAGACGGACAGACAGGAAGATATTGAGCTAAAGGGAGAGACGGAAAAAACAGGAAGTCTCCTTCTCCCTTTATTTAAATGTCAACCATCCAATAACAGGTTGATGCCAACATGAAATGCTCCAACCCTTTGGCTATAAACACACACACACACACACACAGATGAGCCCTCATATTTGCTCAGCAGACAATTACCTGCCTGGGTGTTTTCGCAACCTTTCTTCTATCTTCCTCATTCTCTCTCATATGTCGCTATGTCTCTTTATTAGCGAGCCATTTACATCTAAATGACTTAGCAAACCTGCACATGTTTGTATTTGGCTTACAACCTGTGTGTGTGTGTGTGTGCGGAGAGAGAGAAAGAGTTGTGTTTGTCCTTGACGATGCATTCTTATTATGAGAAGTTTTATTGAGGTGAGCAAACACACACACACACACACACACACACACACACACACACACACACACACCTATACGTGCTCTGCCCAGATTTAATCCTGATTCTGTCACATCCCGAAGCGTGAGTTTTTCCGTGTGTGTGTGTGAGTGACAGGCAAATTATGGGTTGTCAGAAGAAGTCCTTGTGTTGTCTCCTCTGAGAGAGGAAGACCCAGAGAAAAACAGAGAGCTAGACAATGAGGGGTTGTGCAGAGACTCGCCTCTCTATTTAAGGTGAGCTGTTTTTATTAAGAAACCCTGGGAGGACATAGGGAAGCAGCTGGGTTACAGACGGAGAGGAAGAAGGAACCTCAACAGGTGATATCATGACCATCAGTGTGAGGGAAGTCAGTTTACGAGGAACAATAAACAAAACTTGTAATTCAATTAGTTCTGTTTGTCCAGAGTCAATCTGCGAGGTCAGCATTAGAGTTAATGGATCATTGTTATCCGCTGAACCTGATTAAACTGGTTTTTGTTGTCAAGATATCAAATGAGGCTCTCAGATGTCAAATCATATGATATTAGCTGAAGAATAACAACAACGGTTCAACTGGACTTATCCTGTCTTTAATACAGTGATGGAATGTAACTAAGTAAATCTACTCAACTACCATACATATTTGACATACACCTATTTACTTTATCTCACTATTTGTATTTCACTTTTTACATACACTCTAAGATTTTTGCATGGTATAGAGTGTTTTGGGTCTGAATACTTATTCCATCGCTTCTTCTCTTTCAAAGCGTTGTACCTGTTTCAGACACAGATTCATTTGGTATCTTTGTAGAAATTACAAGAACACAGCAACCCCTCTGAAGTAGATCTTCATCTAAAGAGTTGAAGGGTTGGAGAAGCAAACATTGGTAAAAATGTAATTTAAAATGTATTGCCTGAACTATAATGGCTGATGTTAGCAGACAGCAAGTGGATCATTTTTGGTTTTGTCTGTGCGGTCTTGCCTGAGTGTGTGAGTGTGTGTGTGTGTGTGTGTTCTGTGGGTTATTGATCCAGTTAAATGAGCCAGTTAAGGTAATTAAAGCCCTGGGCAGGCCTGAGAGAAGGTACTGTAGATTATATTGACAATAAATAGTTCTGAGTTCACATAAAAGATGGAAACCTAAAGACGTGCCTTGAAGAAGTGATTGCATTTGAGAAATGGTTGAATGGCAGCGAGGAGCAGAAATAGATGATCGTAAAACCCCTCTTGTTTCATCTTGGGGTAAACGTTGACTCGGCACTCTAAAATGCAGCAAAATTAAAGTAAATGTTTGAAGTTCACAAAAGTATTTTTCACATTAACTCTAAGTCATCAAAGAATGGGGATTCATTTCCCATGTTATTCATGATCAGGAGGCTACAGTCTATTGCGGTTCTTATGACAATCTGGTTTAATGAGAACACTCATCCTATTTTCCCCCATGTTCTCCTATGTTTCTCTGTAGAACCCATGCGGACTCCTAAGAGGCTGAAGATAGCTGAGACTCGGTCCCGTCTGATCGCAGTGGATTGGGAGTCGTTGGGCTACAACATCACTCGCTGCCACACCTTCAACGTCACCATCTGCTACCAATACATGACCGCCAACAACCGCAGCAAAGCCGGCTGCCTGGACATGGACCCTAAAGGTAACACTCACTTTGAACATTACTGTCAGTTAAACTGCTGTTTTACATTGACACGATAAAAAACATCATATTAACTGTGCAAGAGCTGCATTATGGGTATGTTTATTAAATACAAATTGTTGTTAACACCACCAATACAAATGAAGCTGAATGAGAACACATCATACTGCATTTTAAGAGGATACTCATCATTATGGAGTAGTTCAGTAGGAGACTACCTAATGTGTGCAACGTTAGCATTTTACAATATTTTTCTAATTATTGGTATTCTCATTGGGATTGGCAGTAGTACCAGCCATCTTTCATTTCACAGGGAGTTAGGAATATATAAAATATTGATTGAAATAGCATCAGATTGCATTCGTAAATATATGCATCACAACATATACTGTATATTAGCAGTCCTAATAAGTAGTAACCAAATGTTGGGGGGAATTTTGTACACTTACAATCGTAATAACATGCACTACTATAAGTCTGATCGACTGATTTTAATGCATTTCGTGTCAGGGATGAGCGAAGCAGGCAGGACCCAAACGCAGATTTCACAGAAAAAACACCTTTATTCCCAGGCTAAATGAAACAAAACAGAACTCTTCCCTGTGAACAACGTCAAGACACACAAGGAACCGACAAAGACAGACAGAAAAACCAGAACTTAAATACACACAAGACTAATCAAAGAAACAAGAGACAGGTGAGGAGGGAGGAGAACACACAGGGGCACAAGGTGAACACAATCGGGTAATCAGACAGGAGGGAACACAGACAGAAAGCAACAGGCAAGACAGGGGGTGAACCCTTTTCAAAATAAAACAGGAAACCAAAGACAGGAAAAGACAAAACAAAACACAGACAGATCGTGACTTTTCGAGCTGTAACAATAGAGTACCGTAATTTTCGGACTATAAGCCGCGCCTTTTTTCCCATTTTTCGACCCTGCGGCTTATATAACGGTGCGGCTAATCTATGGATTTTTACAGCTAACGGCCACTAGGGAACCTCCTAAATCTATGGATTTTACAGGTTACAGTCCACCACCTTTAACACTATGGGCTCTATGACCGGTCCGCGCCCGCCACCTTTAAGCGGCGGGCTCCAGCAGGAAAAGCTGGAGGCCGGAAAAGAGTGAGACAGGTAGCGCGCCAAAGTAAAAGTGGAACCGAGAGTGGTACGAGAGACAGAACGAGAGCAAGACAGACAGACATTACGAGAGCGAGACAGTTTGTGCAAAGGAAGTTTTCATGCACAAACCCTGCCGGTACGTGCGCTGGGAGCGCACCGTTTAAGTTTGAAAGTTGAAAAGTTTGTGTGTCTGAAACGCTATGTGATACAGTACAGTTTACACAGCACAGTACATGTTCTGTAGCTACTATTGCACTAAATGGTAACACTTGAATACGTTATGCAAATATGCAACTTGTTTGTTGAAATGTTAATAAATGGGAGCTTCCTCAAACAGCCATCTCTTTCCCGACAATCCCCTCTGTGCACGAACCCTTACATATGGTAATTAAACATTAAAACACCTGCGGCTTATCGTCCAGTGCGGCTTATATATGTACACATCATTCAATTTAGCTGCTGCGGCTTATATGCAGGTGCGCTTTATAGTCCGAAAATTACGGTAACTAATCGAGAATCTGAAATATTATACATAACAGTTACAGTAGAGTTGAGTTTTGTGTTTTTTCTTCTATTCTTCTCCTCAGCACCGCGCCACCTGGTTGGAAACCTGCCGCCGTACACCAACGTCAGTCTGAAGATGATTCTGACCAATCCCGAGGGGCGGAAAGAGAGCGACGAGACCATCATACAAACTGATGAAGATGGTGAGATACACAAAAGACACTTTATTTTGTTATTATATACATTTTTTATTGTGCGTTTGTTGGCTTTCGTAAAAAAGGGCTAGAGCAAAGGGTTAATGCTTCTTATGCTGTAGGATTATTAAAAAGCACAGAATATATGATACGAAGAACCTTTATTGCAGATATGTTTGGGAGTAGCACCGTAAATTAAGGAAGTACACGTATAACTTCGAATGGTTCAATAAAGAAATCGCTGTGTGCTTTTCTTTTGTCGATATGTATTTTCTAAGACTGTTTTTATATGAAGATTGAACAACATTGTTATGTCATTTTTATGAGCATTTTATAATTGTCTGTGTGTTAACAGTCCCAGGGTCCGTTCCCAGTCAGTCTCTCAGAGCCACTCCATTTGAAGACCGAATTCTTCTTTACTGGAAGGAACCGACTGAACCCAACGGAATCATCATACAGTATGAGGTACAGCAACAAGAAGCAGAGGGAACAATACTTGTTGAATAAGCACATCTATCACTAAACTCAGCCTCAGAGGGATATACAGTGTGTATAATCCTTGTGTCTGCTCTCTGCCCATCCACAGATCCACTACAGTGGGGTGCGTTCATTTGACCCCTCGGTGCCTCTCCAGCGGCCGGGGCTTACAGTGTCTCTGCCCTCCAACGCCACCCATCACCTGTTCTCTCAGCTCCACCCAGGCGTCACCTACCAGCTCCTCATCCGCGCCTCCACCTCCAAAGGGTTCGGCACTGCGACCACGCTCAACGTGACTACTAATATTTCAGGTAGGAAATACATTTTAATGACTTTTAGTCACATTCAGATAGTTAGTAAGGTGATTGATGGACACTAATGTTGAGTTATGCTCTGTCTTCAGCCCCAACAATAGATGAGTATGACGGGTCAGAGGCTTTTCTGAATGAAACTGCAACAACCATCACCATCCTGCTTAAACCTGCCCAGGCCAAGGGAGCTCCTATAAGGTACATGCTAACATATACAAGTACTACCAATGCATTTTCTTACACCATTTTATTTTTATTTCTACTTGCACTATTTAAATGTTTGTTTATGTCTTATTTATATTCTATGTTGCATTAACTAAGGAGCTTAACAAGTATATACAAATACATGAGGTAGTTTTTCTTGCAAATATGTTTTCGAACTCAATAAGGACCAAGCCTTAACATCTGCATGACAATACAATCATTGATCGTTATGATATTTATGACAACAATGTCATGTTTGGGGGGATTAACATGGAGGTATACTTAACATTTAAAAAAACAGGTAGATAAACTCAATTTAGCAGGGTTTCATTAACATGACACTAAACTACACAACCTTTTTTAAAAACTTTTTTTTGTCAGTATTATGTATTAACATTGTCTTCTTGTCTACAGTGCGTACCAGATTGTGGTTGAAGAAGTGAATCCTCGATCACGCCGTCAAGCTTCTTCTGACTGTTACGAGGTAATTATGAATCTGTTTTACATACATTTAACAAGCCATGCCTTTGTTTCATACATGTATTTGTTTGCTAACATTCATTTGAAAGAGTTTCATCTCCATAAACGAAATGATTATAGAGTAGAAAGCCACCATTTTCTCTATAGACCTTTTGACATTTAGTTTCCAACTCTTATATAGTAGTCCTTTTATTTGCAGAACATAACTCAGTCCATCCGGCTTGACTTGTGTATGTATGACAGATTTATAGACATATCATTTTAATGTAAATACATCTTGTCTCCTAGGTCCCGGTGTCCTACCACAGTGCATCTAGCGGTGGATCTCCATATTATTATGCCGCCCAGCTGTCCCCCAGCAACCTGCCGGAGCCGCTGCCCTTCACCGTCGGAGACAACAAGACGTATCAGGCAAGCATTTTTATCTGAGCTACATATTCTGTGCGTAGTGCAGCAAAAATGTCAGGTGAAAAGATTAATCACATAGATACCATCGTAAACTCATAGCTCAAAATGCAGATGAATATGTATGTGGAATACACAAACAAGACATGGGGAAATCATGTTAGAATTGACTTGGTTTTTATATGTTTTATACTGTATATTCCTAATACATATTTGTGTTTATTCTGATGTTCTTAACCATGTGATATGTATATGCCAGGAAGTTTTAGTTTATGTCGGTGTAGTAGTAGTAGTAGTAGTAGTAGTAGTAGTAGTTAGTTAGTAGTAGTTAGTTAGTTAGTTAGTTAGTTAGTTAGTTAGTTAGTAGTAGTAGTAGTTAGTTAGTTAGTTAGTTAGTTAGTAGTAGTAGCAAAAAGTCCTGGGATAAGGACAAAGCAGTTGAAAAAATCTACATATATTTAGTCCCTTCATTTTACCTAAACACCTATACATACTTACACTACTTATATGCAATATATATATATATATTTGTTACAATTGAAATGCGTTATTACTGGCTGCTAATTCAATTCCTGAGGCTGTAACAACACTGTCATAAAATAACACTTTGCAATTTATTGATTTTGATTTCCGATGATCTTTTTTTATCCCTCAGGGTTTCTGGAATCCTCCATTGGCTCCGAGAAAGAACTACAACATCTACCTTCAAGCTGTTAGCAGCACGGAGAGGGTAAATACATGCTCATTTATATGAAGACTAAACACCCAGTGAACTCACAACTCTCACCTCCGAGCTGCCATGAATAAATATAATTATATGTACATATTCAAATATACATTAACTACACTTTAAGTACTTCACAGCTTCACTGAAAGCAGTAAGGACTTTACTGTTGACATTCATCAAAACAACTGTCGGCAACTGAATAATACTGAACATTTATTTACTCAGATATTTATATTGTGTTATCTTTTTATTCAGGAAACTAAGACACAGTGTCTGAGGCTGGCTACTAAAGGTAAGCAACGTACTGTTACTGATGTACTTAACATACAAAAGACCACAGATGAGTATTATTTTGACAACCAGATGCAAACAAGGTGGTTTTCTGCTGCTGAGCAAAACATAACGCAGATTATTTTTAATGGTATTATAGTAACAATATATGTTTTCGTGTCTGGTGATCTGTGTGTATCTGCTGTTGTTAAGTTGCTTACTGTCCATTCATGATTATTGTTAATCTGATATGTATTATTATGACGGGTGTTATACCTTGATATTCGTGTTAGTGGTATTAGTGGGGACATAATATTGTTTTGCATAGAGAGAGAAAATGCGTTCATGTCATGTGTTTGTCTGCACACTTAGGCACGCAGTCTAAATGTGATGTTTTTATTAGCAGCCATATGTTGATAGATTATGAGACTGGTTTTAATCCCCCAGCAACATACAAGTTCACATATACACACAGATACACACATAAGTGCTAACACACTTACCCACACACTGTTTTCAGGAAAGATCTTTAGAAATGCGGCTAATGGATCAGAATTTAGCTGTGTGCAGTAAGAACAAGGGTAAACAGAAAAATACATTAACATGTTTTCAGTGAAATAGAAAATCCTGGTGGCTGCTAGCCTTGAGTTTCAAAGAACGGTGAGTTAATTTAAGTGTTTATATGGCTAGAGGAAACATAATAGAAAGCAAACAGACATATGGAAATATTTCTCATTTTTACTACAACTGTAAATATATTCTGGCTATTCTTAGCCTGGACCTTTTAATACGTAAGCTAGAGGCTTAGCACAATGCTATGTCAAAAAGGGCTCAAACTAACACTTGTTTTTATTATTAATTATCCTGATGATCACTTTTTTAAGTAACCAGTCATTTTGTCCGTAAAAAAAATAATGGAAAATCTATTAATTGTTCAGCTCAACGGTAATTTAATTAACAAACAGGAGACAGATTGGAATCATTTTATTGTAGGAATTACTTTTTTAATTCTAATACATTTGTTGGTTTCCTATATCGTTAACACAATCTGAGATAACAGGTGAGAAGTTAAAGCCTGTCATAGTATAGAACATTGTTATTATATCAAATCACTTGAATGTTGTACTTACAAGTAATCTTAGCCCTGCTGCGTCATGGTTTGTATGTTGTTTTTCTTTTAAAATCAGTTATAATCACTTTCTGCACTCAGCCCATAGTCCTTTGTTTGACCTTCTAACAAAGGAGCATAAAACAAGGCAGTAAAAGTGACACAATTTGCAGCACAATCAGCCATAATTATTGTCGAATGAGTAATTACTGCTGGTTGATTAGTGTATTTTTATAAAGACTCATCAGGGGACAGACACTGTGAACTAGCGTAGGTGATAAATACTGCGGTGTGTGGCTCCACGCTGTGTCCTTGTCCCTTTCAAATGAAACCATAAATAATTGTAAAATACAATAAGGGCCTGTTGGAAAATAAGTGGATTTTAAGCGGATTTCTCTTTAGGTCATGGAGTTTAATGTGATCTAGACATTTTGAACAGTAGGCTCACAGGAAATTGATCCCATGGGATGGCTTAAGGTGTGGTTCAGTCCCTCCAGCGCCTGTAAGGTGTCGTGTTTTAAAATAAGAGAAACATGTGTCATCACTTTTCTTACTAGGGGTTGTAGTTTCTAGAACAGGTTGGTTGTTTAACCGAAGGCTGCTACAAAGAAATGACACTGTCTCTTTAGCCAGAGGAGGATTTAGTGAAGCTGAACTTATTTAAGTTTTTTTTAATAGGCAGAAAGACACACTAATGGAGAGAGAGGTCAAAAGACCGTCCCTCTTTTCTCCCTCCGTCCCTCTGCATGTGTGTGTGCGCTCAACCGTGCATCAGGGAGGGAGGATTAAGCGACGGTGGTCCTATTAGGTCATCGGGGTATTGTGTATTGTCATTGCTGCCTTAGGGTGTCTTTTGTGTGTCTGTGTGTGTGTGTGTGTGTGTGTGTGTGTGTGTGTGTGTGTGTGTGTGGTGTGTGTGTGTGGGTGTGTGTGTGTGTGTGTGTGTGTGTGTGTGTGTGTGTGTGTGTGTGTGTGTGTGTGTGTGTGTGTGTGTGTGTGTGTGTGTGTGTGTGGGCACATTGTTAGTGTACTGACCTGGATAATTTTTGTACAGACATTAAGAGCAACCGCCGACATTATGAGGTCAGGTCTCAGGACTCTGAAGCTTTTAAAGATTTGATTTTTTTCAGATTCCCTTTACGCATTGATTGGTCTGACAGTCATTGTAAAAAAAAGGAGGTGAAACCAAAGTGTGGTGGAGTCACCAATGCTTTGGAGTCATAGTCATAGTTTAAACAATACATTAGTAGATATTTAAGACACATTTGACCTTGTTTTTCTTTAAGAATAACTAAAGCTTGACACATACTGTTTTTTTTTTGGTACTACTTTCAGTATTTAAGATAATATATATTATTTTTAAAAATAGTTTTGACCAGGATATATGACACTACTCTATATAAAGTATTATACATAATTGTTCTATATGTCTATGTTTCTTATTAAACCACATACAGTAAAACCCAGTATTCTTTATATATCCATAATTTGGCCGATACATCTTGTAGCAACGGTCTGAAGAAAGCGCCCTACAGATGCACTATTTACTGCTTTGATAGATCTTTTAGCATTTTATACCAATACAACTTTTAAAAAACATCGTAGCGTCAGACAGGGAAGAAAGTTAGTCAGAACTGCATATATTTGGAATTTGCTAGAGATAAAAAAACAGTACAATCCAGACCTTATTATTTCAAAGCATTTGAGCTTTCAAATCCCTGCTCAAGCTTCAACTATCAATCCCATGTTTTAGTAACATTGTTACATAATGACAGAGGGATAGATGGAGGCATTTCTAATAAATCAGCGGCAGAATTATTATACAAATACTGAAGGAGATAAAGAGCGATTAGGTTTAACTTGTTGATATTTTGCATTAGAAGTGGATTATTGTTCGATAGAAGCATTGCATTAGGTTGGAGTTTTTGTTGCATATGTCTTTGTGTTGGATTATTTGGATTATCATAATGCACGATAATGTTTTTACGCTGCAGTACCAACTACTCTGGCGTTATGGGATCAGATCAGTAAGCTGAGGAGCATGAAAACAGATGCTGGCTCTCTTTCTGTTGACTTTCCATGCGTGATCAACATGGTCAAATCTCACTGCGCCCCGAAACCTTGTTTGTGAATTATATTCCAAACAGACGAAACGGGGGAGTTCAGACAATTCTCTGAAGTCATCAGGAACAGAAATGAGTTTGAGTACGAGTAATATACTCTGACATTGGAGCAGAAACATTGGACAGCTGCAGTCAAATTGCAATTCAATACACATTTCTCTATAAGAGCATGACTCCAAGGATAACTGAATACGCTGAAAAGATTAATTGAGCCTTTCTTTATTTGTGTATCTGTATTCAATGTATATGTGTTTTCAGCAGGGAGGAGGAGAAGTGAGTGTGCACAGAGTTCACTGGTTCAGTACATTAACTATCAGGTTGTACAACTAAAGTATTAAGAAGCTGACAAATCCAGAGTTGTCATTTAACTGACCTAGCTTGAGAAGCTTCTACAGGCAAGGGATAAACATTGTCAGCTTCCACCGATGCTCCGTTGCTTTCTCTTCACATAATTTCATTTTAAGATTGTACAAGAAAATGTAAAATGGTTGGATTAACTTGTTTAGATTAATAGCCGTGGCTAGAATCCAGAATTTTGTCCAGAATATTTGAACTCCTAGATGAATTGGGGAGATTTCTACATTTATATTATCCATGTTTCTAAAAAGGGTAGCCCTTAAGATTATGACGTCCATTTAAAGAGGCCCTATTATACTTTTTGAGTTTTCCCTCCTGTCGTGTGATTTACTGTATCTGCATGTAAATGGTCTGCAAAGGTAAAAAGTTTCCTCCAGAGGGAGTTTCTCTACCACAGATTGAGAAAAAGAACATTACATGTCCTCTTAAACGTATTCTGTGAAATATCTAATCATCTTATTGATGGATTGGCACAAAATGTTCTATAGATGTTCCCCGTGAGATGGCATGCAACGACTTTGGTAACTCCCTATTTGTTCATGTATTGCCATCATTAGATCAAAGTTTTCATTTGAACCGGTTCATGTCCAAACATCTGCTAAAACCACGCCTGCGTTATGCTCTGATGTCTACTGTCAAACACATAATGTGTATGAGCAGTTTGGCTGTGGATAGAAGCAATCTATTTTGTTCCGTTATTCCATAGCAATCATATTAAAGGATAATTGACTTTTAATCTCAGTATTTTAATCTGCGAGCCAAATAAGCTCCTCAAACTTCACTTTTGGCTATATTTGGAATATTTGGAGTCTTGATATTTACCTGATCTTTTGCACAGGATTGATTAAACCTCCCTGTTTAAACGGCTCATCAGGATTTTTTCCTTATCACACTCACCACTTCCATGACGTGAGGGCTTTTTGTAAAGATGTCTTGGGAGAAAAATCAAATTCCTGGGGCTCTTAGTTGGCATGCTTTTCTAGCCTTGGGTGACACAAGGTTGCGTAAATACTTCAGACAGTGCCAAGAATCTATTATTTGTGTAACAGGCTTACAGTCAGTGCAAAAGAGCAACATTTGATACATTTGGAGGGCTACACACAGAAAAAAACTAGGGCTTTTTGAAAGCTTAGCTGACAGGTGGGTTTGGTTTTATCTGGCTTGTTCACTGCCCGATTAATAGAGGGTTTGAATAGTTGGAAACATTACTACATTTGAAATAATTCTTATTCAAATATCTCCCAGCTCATCACCATTTTTTTTGGCGCATTCGCTTTCTGGATGTGTCTCACGCAGAAGCCTCATTGTTTCATGCTTCATCTTCCTCGAGAAGTATTAGCTTCTTTAATTTGAGGGATTAAGGGCTAGAGTCCTTGAGAAATCCTTGAAAATGATGTTTAAGAAGGTGTGGAAACCCTGAGACCCTTCTAATGTCATTAACAGATTACCTCTGAAGCATACACTCTTTATTGGGGCGGTGTTCTCTTTGCAAATACACCAGTGTTTTACAAATGAGGATTGTAACATGACCTTTTTTCCATTCATTATACTACTAAATAACCAGTAATTACAGTAGCACGACGGTCATTTGAGCTAATCACATGTTAGATCCATGGTTTTGATGTTTTTTTTATTGTAACTATGGTGAAGGTGCTACAGAGGAGCCAGAAGTCATCCCAGATCCCGCGAAACAGACGGACCGAGTGGTGAAGATCGCTGGGATCAGTGCCGGTGTCCTTGTCTTCATACTGCTGGTGCTGGTAGCCATCCTATTGGTCAAGAAGAGGTGAGTGACGGCTGCTAACCCCGCCCCCTAAAACAGCTTTATTGAAAATGCAAATAACAACTGTGCTACACCAACACTCATGCAAATGCACACAACAGACACACATGTGCACCTGATGTTGTGTGTTGGTCCAGTATTTGCTGGAGTAACACCATCTCTCATCCATCCACCATAAACGTTGATCTCCCCTCAGAACCAGCGTGATCTCCTCCTGAAGTCTGCTCTCCTTTTCAGGCATTAAATAGCTGAAGGCTTGTTTTCCTGAGATCTAATGCAAGAAGTATGGTGTTTCCAAAATTAGAAACTCCTGCCTCACAGTTGTGTGATTTAGTGCAGGAGAGATCTGAGGCGGTTTCTAGTTGTGTTTTTTTCATGTAGAGTACAGCTGCTGAAGCACACTAGACAAAACAACCGCTCAGAATAGCCGACTCACTGAAAGTGAAAAACACACAGTGAAAGAGATCCTCAAAGAATCAGTACAGATGGATTTCATAAACACATCAAAGACATATTATCTAATTGTTTAAAAGTGGAGTGAAGACAATGTGAGGGTTGATTACAGTTAAGTATAGATGTGCTGACAAATATATATGCTTATGAAGCACACGCATAGCCCTATACTTTATTCATTTAGGTTAACAAACAAAAATAAATCTCTTTCTGTCTACGTAGGTTTACTAGACACTTAAAATGGGTTTGTACATGTGTGATGAAGGCTTCTTTTTACTCTGTTCTTTAAGGAGAAAACAAGAGTGAACATAGGGACTGAAATAATGACTTTAGTTTCTCTCATCCTTTAATAGTCGATGTCGGTCTAGGTTTCACTTTAGCGTTAGTTTGGTGCAGGGCTCCACCATGTGGCGCCTAAACACAACTACAACTTATGGTATCGTCTTATTTCTATAAGAAGTTGGTTTTAGAGATGTGAGTCTATGAAGCACCAACAGATGTTACTGCTCAGTTCTTTTTGACCTTATCATGTTGTTAAGGTTTTAGTAAAATGACAGCATCATCATTAATGTTCATCATTCCAGCTTCGACACCATAAGGCACAGTGACTGAATTGAATTGTGTAATATTAACACATGAATGTCTAGGATTTTTTTTAATAGAGTCATCCTCATGCTTTAAACACAATCCATCCGCCATACTCAAGTCTAGACACCTTTGTTTTGCATATAACCTGCCCTTTATTCATGAAACATTCCCGAGTAACTGCAAGGTTACACAGGGTCGGATCTTGTCTTTTCAGGGTGTGCATGTCCATATGTTGGTACGCACATTTCTAAGTCATGTACACGAGTGCATGTGTGTAATAATTAACTGTTACTCAACACGACGTTCTTCCTGTGACCTTTCAATTAAAATCTGGTGTTCAGGGAACCTGAGTGCCTCATTAAAAAGAGAATAATTAGGAGCTTCATTTGCATATTCATACTGGATATATTCACGTTGAGTGCCTCATATCCCACCTTTACTTATTATTATTATAAAGAAGTGTCAACATAAATAGCTTGAGTTGCTCATTGGACGCCATGTATGTTGAACACGTAGCAAGACATGTAAGATTAATTATCATCCACGGTCTCTTTCAGGAGATAGACTGATATTGCATCAGAGAGCAGCAAGGAAAAAAGTCGCTCAAGTCCAACCAATCATGATCTCACTGAGCAAATCAAGAACAATTAGAGACATTAAATTACAGCCGGTAATGAACTCGTGTCACCTGGGAACTGTGACCTCCACATTTCTTTGTCTTAATGAATTAATTTAATCCTGCAGTCTTGCTGTAGATTTAATGTCAAAGTGTAATTGGATTTGATATTCAAAGATCTTAAAGTGGAGGGTAGAAATATCCTATGTATTGCAGAAGCTGCTACTTTTCCCACTGTTTTAAATAGACTCACCTATCAGGATACTTTACAGTGTTTGATTCACAGTTTGCAGCCAGTGGCCGGACAACTTTACCACATATTACTGAACATTATCAGTGCCTCTGAGGAGTGTATGCCTTTTGAAAATAGAACATTTATCCAAACTGAAAGATGGCATTTGTTGTTTTATACTCTTGAATTGCATGCACAGCTGTGTCTGTTGTTGTTTTAAACTCTAACCATCTCAAGCTGCATCTGGGCTAGAGGAGACTTCAAATAAACGTTAGCAATATATCACAAACGTTCACCGACTGCCACAGGATTACAGAAAGAAAACATCCGGTTCAAATGGTATTTTCGAGTGTATTTCTAACAGGTAGAAACGTTATCTTGCCAGCATCAACAACTGAAGATGAATGGTATCTTCGGAGATGTTAAGTCACTCATGTTTGTGTTTATACAACTCATGACAGCACTTTCTGGTTGAAAGAACTTCTTTGCATTTCTCTGCATGGTGCATACATTTGCCAATTGATGTGAAACTAAACTGTGACATCTGACTTAGCAGAAATGCTTTTGGGAAAATGATTGGAATATTGTCAAAGTATTTGTGATTTCTTTTTCTCACCCTCATGAGTTTGTTGGAGTTAGTTTTCCCTGAAGGTTTCTGGGGAGATCAATCTTCATTGCCATTGAACCTTTAACACTTTGAACAATACTGCATCTTTAAAATGGAGGGACATGATGACATCGCAGTGACATCATACTTGCTTTTACAGGAAGCAAGCTGCGTGGTGTTTCAGAATAAATAGCTTTGTAGCAGTTGTTATTTATTTTTTTAATTTTCCTTAGGAGTAAGTAAAGGTGATTGGCTGAAATATTTCTAATCAGGACCTTTCGATTACAGAAAACTCTTAAATAATGCATGAACATTAAAAGTATGACACCTCTAGAAAGAGAAAGACTGCATGGTAAAAGTTAAATACTGATAGTTCGTTGTTCTTTTAGTCATAGTTTTATAAGACTCTTAGCTTGTTTTGTAGAATTTATTTAAAACGTTTTCTTAAAGAAATAAGGCCCGTAGTTTAGTATAACTACCCCTTGCATGCCCCTCAAGTTGTAGCGATCAAAAGGTGTTTTCTTCTGTTTCTGTTGTTGATGGATGGGACAGGACAGTATTGTCCTAATTTGCATATTCATGACCCTTGTGTCTCATTCTTTGCTTTCTGATTGGCTCACAACCCCAGGAGGACCTACTATTCATACTCTTATTACCTGTAAGTAAACAAACCAATCAACAATCAGCTTACCCAGCTGCTGTTACCTTATTGGGCGATTTATTATTAGTGGCTAGTTGTTGTTATTTTTAAAGATGCAGTATACTTTTTTCAAGACAAAACACATTTTCAGCTCTGACCAACCAGCCAAAGCCATCCTCATTGACGCCTTGCCAGGGTGGGGGTCACTTCACTTTCATGTCAGTGAGGTCGGGATTTTCCTTGTTTTTAATCGATCATATAAATATTAAAACGTCCCTTTAGCACGATAATGTTGATGGTTACCTATCTTAACATAACTATACATAAATAATTGTATTTTAAAGTGACTGAACTGACAGTGAATTGACCTCAGCCCCGGTGTCCTCTACATGCTCCGAAGTTGCTCCGAAGCAGGCTAATGAAGGCCAAAGTGGGCCATAAAGCAGAACAAAGCAGGTCAAAGTGGGACGCACAGGCCTAAGCGTGTTATTTGAAAAAAGAATGCTGCACTTGTGACTGGTAGCTCTTTGTCTGCATGTAGTCATGTGATCATCCATCCGCCCATCAAGTCACAGGTACCATGGTAACCCGCTGCTGCACACGCACCTCTGGGTCTCAGTCCGCTTCCTGTGTGGAGCTCATGGCTCTGAGTTTGGTAGATGTTGGTGGGTGTTTTCTCGTGTTGTGGGTACTTACTCTTCTACTCTGTCTTTTATTGTCTCTCTGTACAAAATGGGTTCTTAATGGCCTCGTTGCACCTTCTTTTTTTTAAACAGCTGGGGACTTTACAGTGCAAAATGTAGCACTTACAAAAACTGATTAATAAACAATATTGATTTATTCTTTACCAGCTTCCGTCTGTAGTCACAGGCTAAAAACAAAGTAGCATGGCAAGTTAGCATTCATCTTATAGCTTAAAAGTACCAAGAGTGAAATAGCACGATCCTTTAGCGCCTAATTCAATTGTCTGGAACAGTATTTACTGTTTTCTATTATTGTCCTCATACAGTATAGACAATTTCATCTGTTGACGAGCATTTTTTGTTATTCATTATTGATAATTAAAAGATTCATGGGGTCAATTTTCACAAATTAATTAAAAAATTAGACCTTAAAAATGAATAAAACAGTCAAAAACGTATAAAAAAAGCTATTAAACCTTATTTTAGTTACTCCCCCTCTGTTTCTACTAATCTGTCCTTAATGTACATCTCAAGTACACACCATTTTATGGTTTAAGATATATGTATAGCATTTTTCCCATCTTCTGTTTTCTGTTGAAGAACCTATAATACACTCACAGACAGCCACATAAACAGTTAAATCAATTACAGTTTCCTCAGTGTGTGTGTGTAATATGTGTGTGTGGTCTTAGAGGTGGAGTTGGTGTGTTTTGGGGTGAAGAGGTAAAATATATAATAAAACAAAGCATGCTTTCTGTGTTTGCTGGGAAGAAGTCAGAGCCGTACATCGTATCAGTTATGCAACAATCACACATGTATTCCTCAATCAATCATCTGAGAGAATATATTTTACAATTTTATTGGAGCAAAAACTGCTTTAAGTGTTAACTCATGTTAAGCAGGTCACTTAAAAAATCATTATACATGCTTTCTCTTCTGTTCAGATGTTGTTTAACTGATGTACGTGTATGGCTCTGGGTAAAAAATGTTCCTGCATGCCCTGTCATGCTCGAAGTATTAAGCCCTCTACTATATGTTTCCTGGGATTATATGTGTTGAGCGCACTAAGAGATAATTGAACCTGAAGATGATACCTTGATGTTTACATGTAAAACTGTGTATACTCCTACTGTATTTTACTACTTCTCACATGATGATGTGGTTCTATGGTTGCTTAATGGTTTTCCCAGAGCTTCATAAGTCATTCCCTTACTGTTGTTTTAATGGGGTTTTCCTATCTTTGCTGTCGGATGAAAACCAAAAACCAAATACTTCTGTGACTTATTTAAATTGTATTTATTTTGTTCTTATTTTATTAAGCAGGCATTAATAGACATTTCTGAAAATACACCAGGTATACCCAAGATGCTATTTTCTCATTGTAGTCCCTGGACAGATGTTGCAAAGTCAGCCCAAACAAATATATATTTAAAAATAACAAGACAATACAAATAATTTAAAAGGTGCAACTTAGAGGTTCTCAATACTGTAAATGCTATTAAAACAGTTTTTCCTTTTTGCTTTATTGAAACTTTAAAAATCTGAATGTAATTACACTGTTAAATAAAATACAACTGCAAATAGATTTGAGCATAAAACTATTTCAACGGCTTTCATCTGACAGCTCATGTATGGTGACCAGGTTTATAACAGGTTTTCCCTTTGCTACTAGTCGGCCAGAGGTCATTTCCCTGGACTGTATTATATGCTTTGTTCCTTCTATAGCTGAGCCTGTTACATGCTGCCATTGCAAACAAGCCTTTCCTCTACTGTACCTTCTACTGTACCTCCCTTGCCTGTTCTCTCCTCTTCTCTCTACCTCCCTTTTTCTCTCCTCCCCACCTTTCACCTCTCTTTTCTCTTTCTTGTTGGATTTCTGCATCTTGAATCAGCAGCCTGAAGCCCCCAGCCGTGCGTTTACCCCCCAAAAATATACCCCCTAATTAAATAAATAAATAAAACTATACTTTAAAATGTGATACTATTCCCATACAAGGCGGCGGTCTGCAGGCTAGCTGATGTTTGTGTGTTTTCCTATAAGATGCCTGACGGTGTCTGTCTCTTCCCCTTGACAGGAAACTGGCTAAAAAACGTAAAGACGCCATCGGTACGACGCGGCAGGAGATGACTCACATGGTGAACGCCATGGATCGCAGCTATGCTGACCAGAGCACTCTGCACGGAGAGGATCCCATGGCTGTGACGTTCATGGACTCACACAACTACAACAACAGATGTAAGTTCATACAACAAGACTTTTATTATAATAAATAACCATTAACAGTAGTATTAACCTTGGGCTCTCTTCAAAACACAACTCTGTTTATAAATGCACTTAGTATAAATCAAATCTTACACTAACACGTGTGTATTTTCATCTTTTACTCTTCTATTTTCACTGATGAGACTTGAATTTTGCAATTGCAGGATTTGTATTACTAATAGACAGGTTACAGTTCTGTAGCTCAGTTTTGAAATAATCTTTTTTCAAATGAAACGTGAAATGTACTTGAATTATTTGTATGTTCTTTTCTGAGATCAACGGACGAACTGCTGATGAATCATTTATAATTCAAGTACAATCATTAATTGCTTTACAAAACCATGTTGAGGAAACAATTTGGGGTAGTTTGGGAGGCGTGTGGCGCAGTGGATAGAGCGTTGGTGTTCGGATCAAGGGAGCACAGGTTCAAACCCCACTGCAGTCAGCATGTCGTTGTGTCCTTGAGACACTTCACCCCAAATTGCTCCTGTGGGGATTGCCCACAGTATTGAGTATGTAAGTCGCTTTGGATAAAAGCGTCTAACATGTAATGTTTATCCTAGATAGATTTCCACTAATGTTTAAATCATGACTGGAATTTGAATTTTTCTGACCCTCCCTGCTCACGTTGAGTAACGCTGACAAATAGAACATGTCCTCACCGTGTTTCCTCCCACAGTGCCCAACGACCCTCTGGTTCCCACTGCTGTGCTAGGTGAGGTTTCAGCATGGTTGGATATGTAATCATTCACCACCAGCTCCCTTTAGTGATCACCCATCTTCATCTCAAAGCCCCTGTGCGTGTAGCCCCGTGTTGTGCGTCATTTCCCAGTTAAAATGTCATACATGGTCATATTTTTTATTTTACATCCTGAGTTTATGTTCTTTGACTTCGGTCAAGTTTTGTACGTTTTTGTTGCTGAATAGCCAATTGGCCTGACGGACGTTTTACTACCATAATGCTGCGTCTAATCTATATTTTAGAAGTGCTAAAATCTCTAGGATTAACACAGATGGAGATTCATAAATTCTACAGGCAGTGGCTGAAATTAACAACATTTAGGAGAATAAGAACAATTTTAAAACAAAAAACGATGTTTTGATTGTTTTACATGCCATCTAAGGGAGTGTAATGGTTTAGTAATATTTGATGATGGCAAAAAACTGTATGTTTACATTGTATCTTTTTTTGTTCTGCCACCTGGTGCCAACTCCCTGTGTAGCCGGTACTAAAAGCTCCAGCAGCCAAGCCCTTCATCTGTTGTTCTTGGTTTCCCTCTGGTTCAATCACTCCCGATCCCAGCCACGGTTTCTGTTTCCTACTGAGAGTTATTGATATTCACAGTAATTACCGTCATTCTCCCTTCGAGACCTCATTATTTCCACAGTTTTGAGTTGTTTTAAAGCATGCCATTTCCTGTCCCGGAAAAGGACAGAAACTGATGCTTGAGAGAAAGAAGATCATTTGTCACAATGCCATCGCAAAACGGCTGCAGATTAAATCCGTGACATGAAGTGACAGTGAATAAGTTAGTGCCTACAGGGCTCTGTGTGTGACAGAAATGTTTTCTATGCAAGTCTGCTTGAGTATCTACCATCTGTGGTATTCCCCAGGCTTGATTTGTTACTGATGCATCAGTCTGAATTGTAAAAAACGGTATTTTTTTGCTAAGTTCGATGTTCCTCCAGCTCCAGTGTCGCACTGCAACATGTTTAATTTTTGTTTAGTCTAGTGTTGACACTGTAGTACGATGCAGAGTTCTTACATACCCTTAAGGGCTCCACAGTACACAACGCCACCAAACTGTGTTAATTAACTGATCCATTGCATCTAATTTGGAGTGAAGGCTGCAGTTACAATCTGTCTTGGCCAATCACATCACAGAGTGGGAAGACGTAGCACGAAGTAGTGGGATAGGAGGCAGTGTCGGGTTAAGTTTACTGTTAATTGGCCTGACGAGAGCTCAGAAAACCTTTAACAATCAGTAATGAGCTAACATGTCCTCGGAGCAGAGAGAAGCATCAGCGGGATGAAATAAACAGTGTCAGTTAATAAACAGCGGTGAAGATGAAATCAGTCGGTTTTTCTGCTACCCCGAGCTACTCCATTAAACAACCTGTCAGTCTGCGCATTAATCCTGCCAACTCACATTATCCGCCGCAGCACAGAAACGCTCACCTGGAAGTTTGCAACAATTTGACCTCATAATTGCATTCACTTGAAATACCTTTACATGCATCAAAAGGTTAATCATATCATGCCATACTCACAAATAATGATTAAACCTGCAGACTTTCTGCACGTCTTAGAGGATCATTTTGCATCCGTGGTTTTGAATGTGTTTTATTTATATACATTACAGCTCCATATCCTAAACATATAATATTGTGGTGAACTTTGTACTATTACAATGAGTATGGAAGGTGTGTAAAGCTCGCGATGGTATAGTGAGGTATATATTTGAAGCAGTTACTAAATAAAGTCACATATATGTAAATAGCAGCCACTGTTTGGCATTACAGTTGAAGCTCTGGCTCATTTAAGGTTTAAGTGTCTGCCGTTTAGTGTCTTTTATGATAAGACGTTTAAGATGTTTGTTTTATTGCCATGCTCCATTATTTTGTGTAATCGTTTTACTATTGTTTTACTGCCCATTACATATTTAGATTCCTCCTAACAACTCTTCCTATCGTTCTGTCTGACTATAACCATTTACCTCCTCTCTTTTTCTGCTGCTTTGACATGTAGTTCCAATCACAGGTGAGTTATCGAGAGAGAAAACACATTAACAAATGGTTTGTTTGGTATTTCTCATGTTAAAAGTTGAATGTCAGCAACTGGTTTTTGAGGGACGTAAAGTTATTGTCATGTTAGAGAAGAAAATAGAGAGAAGAGGAGGCCTTTTGTTTCTGTTCTTCTCAGTGAATGTACATAATGTTATCCAATCTTCAGATAGAGCCATTCATTATGGGCGCTTCCTCCTTGGTTGGACCTTAACAGACCCCGGTGTCCCTACTTCATCCCCTTCAGGCCCTTTGCAGTAAATAAATCCCCAACTCATGATTCAGCGCCCCTTTGGTTCATTATGTAAGCCAGTTGCAATGGCTTCTCGATCCACCAGGTGGAGCAGTGATGGAAGCTGGCGCAGTTTAACTCATAACAAATATGTAGTATAGCTTGAGGGTGTGTGCTTCCCACACCCTCACCGAACAGCTTGTTGTTTCTATGCATAAAACATCTTATTCTCTCTGTAAAAGATGATGTGCGGACTCAAAACTCATTTGACTGCATGATTCAGACCTGAAATGAAATAATTGGGTCTGTTTTACATGTTTTATTTACCCTGGACGGTGTAACATAGTGAAGGCATCTCAAGATTTGGATGATTTGCATTTGAATTGACAGATTTAGCTGTTTTCTTGCAGATGAGAACCACAGTGCCTCTGCAGCGGAGAACAGCCGGCTGCTGGACGTTCCTCGGTATCACTGTGAAGGAACCGAGTCCCCCTATCAGACGGGACAGCTGCACCCCGCCATCAGAGTGGCCGACCTGCTGCAGCACATCAACCTGATGAAGACCTCCGACAGCTACGGCTTCAAGGAGGAGTATGAAGTAAGACTATAATGAACAGTACTTTTTATAGTTGCAAAAACAGTCATTTTAGATGCCTGGTTGGTATTACTATTGATACAAATGTTGGTACAAAAGTATAACCTGGACACGGATATTATTGATCTAAAAACTTAACAGTGCAGTACATTTGAAATGTACAGAACAAAAAAAGCTTATTATGAAAATCAATAATGCTTTATTTGATGTTTTGGGTTTACATTAAAAAGATAAATGACTATTAGGGTTGAATTGCCTTTTAATTTGAGAGTATATTCCGCTTTATCTACAAAACAGTCACAGAGCTACAAACCTGTTTTGATGTCCTCTATTTATGTTTCTAATAATAATTGTATTACCACCCCTCGTAAATCCCTACAAGCACGCCGTTGTAGTACTTTTTTCTGCTCAGTCATGCGGTAGGAATGTTTAGGATCCATGACGTGTAATATCTTTTGAATTGTTTTGCGTGTTGTTGGTGATACAGAGCTTCTTCGAAGGCCAATCGGCCACTTGGGACGTGGCCAAGAAGGATCAGAACCGCACCAAGAACCGCTATGGGAACATTATAGCATGTAAGAAAAAAACCTTTATTAATGTATGTTCACAACAGATGTTATAATGTGCTTTACAGCAGCAAGAAAGGGGGAAAAGGGGGCGAGAAACAAATCACAAAATACATCTTTTTGCCCTTAAATGCCCTAAAACAAATATTCTCTCCCTTTTTGCTTTCCTCTTGCTTCTCTTTCTTTGTCTGTGTTTCCTTTCTGTTTAGATGACCATTCAAGGGTTATTCTCCAGCCCATAGAAGACGACCCCTCCTCCGACTACATCAACGCCAACTACATCGATGTAAGTGGAAACGCATCGAATGCTACTATTGGCTCCCAACGAAACCAACGAAACCACACTCCCTCGCTCGTATGTCAGGCCTCTATACCTTTATTGCGTCTACTAGTCATCCATCGTGCCATCTTACGCATCCAGCCACCCCAAAAACACTTCATGCATACAGTACATTCGTCCTGTCTCTATCCATGTATTCATGTCTGCATCCATTCTGAATTTATGATAGTATCCTGTTACAGTCTTTTTAAATTGCTATGTAGTCATAATTTGAACGTAGTTGGTCTCAGGTTTTACAGAAATGGAAAAACCATATAACGAGTGCTATACAAAGACAAATACTCCTTTATAATCCGACTCTCATGGTGAAAAATGCAAAAGCACCTAGAATGGTTCTGCTTATTGATAGCTAATATACTTGCAGAATTATTATTATTATTGTTTTAAACACTAGCACTAAATGTTAATAGCTTTGGATCAGAAAGACTCAATTTGTTATATAAAGGCCTTTTAAGAAATAGCATTTTTAAACAGATTTTATGAATGATATACAATGTGTTTTTAAATAGCTTTTGAAGGGTTAGAAGGCATTTTTTTTACTTTTGGTTAGAGCTAGGCAAGCTGTTTCCACCATTACAAGTATTTCTAGTTAACCGGCTGCTAGTGCTAGCTTCCTATTTATTGTACAGACATGAGAGTGGTATCCATCTTCTCATCTAACTCAACAAGACAAGAAAGTGAACAATAACTTTTCCTGTAAGACGTAGCATTCAGCTTTCGGCCCATATATCTTTAAAGTTGTTCTTAATTGTATCTCTCGTCCTGTCTATCTGTTCATCAATCATTCCATAACTAAATACACATCTACTCATCCATTCATCTTTTTTGTTATCTCCACCTCTTCACTTTTACAACAATCATCTGCATAGTAGTCTCTTACATTGTACTTTTTGTTTTGCTAATACTGCTTATAGCACGCTCTTCTATGTTATCATAAACCTCCATTAAAATCATGCATGCCACCATCCACATGAATCTAGAGTTAGGATGAATAGAGTGGACACTTCCTGATGTATCTATCTCATCTCATATGTAACTATGGTCAGATGTCATGTATTTTCAATTGTTTTTGTAAATTATATATTCAACCAACTTTCTTTGGGATGAAAGCTCCTTGTGCGTTTTAGAGTGAGGAGATCACATGACATCAGGAAGTGTCCTTTCTATTCAGTCTAATTCTGGGTTTAAGATATTTTTATTTTATTTCTGCATGTTCTATTCAAACTACCATTTTGATCAATGCAACTTTTCTTTTTCTGATTGACACTCACTGACATTGTTGTGCTTTCTTTCTTTCTTTCTTTCCTTCCTTCACTCGTTCTTTCTGCCTGTGGCTTGGGCTGTAGATTTGGCTGTACAGGGATGTAAGTATCACTGTGGATTCTTTCATTCTCGCGCCTCAACCTCCACACGTTTACGCCCTTTCTAAACACTCGTCATCACGTGCATCGAGTTACGTTGTCCGTATATTTTGAGTTGCTGCTGTGGCCTCGACAGCATGAAGGATTTCACTCCATCCTGCCTCCTCCCACCTGTCCACCTTACATCCCACTATGTACTATTAGCTTAAGTGTTGTAATTATTGTTGTCGTATTGCCATCAGGAAATAAGCCAATGTCATACATTTGTGCACCTGACTGTTTTTCTGTTTCTTTCTTTCTTTACACTATATTTAAATACATGGGATGGTAATGGAGAATTGCCTAAAAATCCCTGTGGCTAGAAAAGTGGGATTCTCCTGTCAACATAATACAGTAAAGAATGAGAGCAATGCCTTTAGGGCTGTAACCGAATATTCGTTCGTTGGAGTACTATTCGGGTTTCAATTTCGTTATTCGGATATACCTTTTTTTTGTTTTTTATTGAAAACTCCAATATCAATGTAAGAGTTTGTGCCTCGGGGGGGCGCGCGCGCTATCGTTTACTTTCTCCGTCTTTATATGTAGATTTGACTTTTTCTCCGTTAATCTCCGTCACGTTGTTTCCATAGCAACAACAACTTCCTGTCAACAGCGCTAACTCTCCTTCAAAAAGCATATCCATACAAAATAGGAAGCCAAGCCAAATTACACTTAAGATATATACAACTGCAACGAAAGTAACAAAAACAATGCAATATCCTTTTCAATTTCAAAGAACACAAATTGGGTTGTATACATTAACAAATAACTATAAAACAACAATACTGTGTAGAATAACAAAAGTATTGAAGCGGTTCGCTGCTGATTACCCCCGCGCGGGACGAATATTCGCTGCTGATTACTACCGAATATCCGGAGCACGAAAAATGGTATTCGGGACAGCCCTAAATGCCTTATACATAAATATCAATCATTTTAGACACAGTTAAACAGTGAGTTAAGCGTTGTACTTGTTGTTATAAAAGTGACAGTTACAATTCAGACTCATCTGATGTTGCAGCTTTGTTTTTATAATAGGGAAAAGTCAGTAGCAGTATTAGGACTAAAGGTATTTCACTTTGATGAGACTGCCAACTTCTCTAATTCTCTTGTGCTGCTCAACTTGTTTCATAAATGACAATCCCATTCAGTATATCATCAATTCACTTGTATTCACCCTACTATAAACTGCTCAATAATATTCCTACACTTTTAATTAGTGATATCATCCATGAACTTGTTCTGGATATTGAGTTGTTGTGTTGTATTTTCAGGGCTACCAGAGACCAAGTCACTACATTGCAACTCAGGGTAAGAAACGGCAACATGCATTCTTCCTTTGTTTTTGACAATAAGACACTTTAATTCATACATAGTTCTCATACTAAACACTGTGTGTGTGTGTGTGTGTGTGTGTGTGTGTGTGTGTGTGTGTGTGTGTGTGTGTGTGTGTGTGTGTGTGTGTGTGTGTGTGGTGTGTGTGTGTGTGTGTGTGTGTGTGTGTGTGTGTGTGTGTGTGTGTGTGTGTGTGTGTGTGTGTGTGTGTGTGTGTGTGTGTGTGTGTGTGTGTGTGTGTGTGTGTGTGTGTGTGTGTGTGTGTGTGTGTGTGTGTGTGTGTGTGTGTGTGTGTGTGTGTGTGTGTGTGTGTGTGTGTGTGTGTGTGTGTGTGTGTGTGTGTAGGTCCTGTTCACGAGACGGTGTATGACTTCTGGAGGATGGTGTGGCAGGAACAGTCAGCCTGCATCGTCATGGTTACCAATCTGGTGGAGGTTGGAAGGGTAAGCTGCTCTTTGCCCCTGTTGCACTTTGCAAGACATGTTTCCTTGTGTAAATATGTTTAGCTTGCATTTTATATGGATTAATTAGAACCCTTTGACATTGGGATAGCCAGATAAAATAAATAGAAAGTCTCTAATCATGGATCAGAATCTGTATGTTGTAGTAGCTTATGTATGTCAAAAGGATATTCTGCAAGTATGTTATTGTTTGATAGTGTTCATGTCATTTTCTCGCTGCTGTTTTACTATTTTTGGGGTGTTTGTATACGTTGTTTATTTGTTATTATGTAAGATGCTATATCTGTCACCCAGGTGTTTTACTGGTTTGTATTATAATCACGATACTGTTTTTGAAACCATCTTTAATGTTCATTTTGACCAGGTTAAGTGCTATAAGTATTGGCCCGATGATGCTGAGGTGTACGGAGACTTCAAGGTGACCTTTGTGGAGGTTGAACCTCTTGCTGAATATGTGGTTCGCACATTTACACTGGAGAGGGTGAGTGAAGTATTTTTAAGTAACAGTTTGCATAATGCCTCTGTCGTTTGAGTTATATTCAATGAGGACACATAGAAAGATGAATGAAACGTAACCTAAAGATGTGTTTTGTCTCTTCTCAGCGTGGTTTCAATGAGGTGCGGGAAGTCAAGCAGTTCCACTTCACAGGCTGGCCGGATCACGGAGTTCCATATCACGCCACGGGACTACTTTCCTTCATCCGCAGAGTTAAAATCTCCAATCCACCTGCTGCTGGGCCCATTGTGGTCCACTGCAGGTAAATAAATACATCCAGACCTTTGTTGATATGAGCTACCACACTTTTTATTGTGCAACATCTGATCTTAAATATACACAAATTTATCTGGCAAGAAATGACATAATTATGAACTTCTTTCTCTCTGTGTTTCTCTCTGCAGTGCCGGAGCAGGGCGTACAGGCTGTTTCATCGTCATTGACATCATGCTAGACATGGCGGAGAGAGAAGGAGTGGTGGACATCTACAACTGTGTGAAGGCTCTCCGCTCTCGGAGGATCAACATGGTACAGACTGAGGTGACTGCATTACCCATCCTCCATCTGCATCCACATCTTAGAAAATACTCAATGGACCCCCACTGTAAGACCCAGCCATCCGCATGGTGCAGGCTGAGGTGACATGTAATTAAACATGTAGTCTCGTTAAATAAACATAACATGTTTTCTATTCCATGTAATGAATATGGTAGGAATATTATCGTCACCTGGACTAAGGTAGACTCAATATAAAGGATTTGAAGATATGGTACTCTGGCACCCTCCTCTGGTGTAATGAAGAATTACATTGTGCTAGACAGTATGAATATAAATAATGGCAAAGCTATAAAAAGATTCAAATACTAACCCTGATCACAATCTACATATACTTTATTAAATCATTAAGATAATTTCTTATATCTTGAGGGCACCTTTTTAAAATGTATGAAATATAGGTTTGTAGCAGATTCGGTCATCCATTGTAAGAACGTCATCCTTTCACTAAAGCAGCCTTCAATTCAACCCGTCTGATCACTGAATTGAAGCTGCAGTCACCCGCTTGAAAGAACCAAAAACACAATTCCATGTGTAGATGAACTCACCAAAATGCAACCTTCTTCGTCTCATCTCATTCACGGCTCCATCTCCCTCACTCACTCACTGCCAGCATGCTCACTTTCATGTGGCATCACAGCTGCTTGTGTTCTCCATGCGACACCTTGTGTGTGTTTTTATTGTTTTCCAATGTTTAGAATCTATTAGTGATGCTTACAGTATGTACAGTATATATTAACATGCATGTCTTGAATTCTCTGTCTCCAGGAGCAGTACATATTCATCCATGATGCCATTCTGGAGGCTTGTCTGTGTGGAGAAACAGCCATACCGGTCTGTGAGTTCAAAGCTGCTTTCTACGAGCTGATCCGCATCGACTCGCAGACCAACTCGTCACATCTGAAGGATGAGTTCCAGGTAAACCCAAATACAATCTGTATCCTCATAAACTAATAAAGTGACACTGTAGTTTCTTTCCCAACAAAACCAGGGGGGAAATGTCAGTAGAGGTGTCTCAATGCAGTATAATCCACTTCTCTGCTGTTCATTCACATGCTCCGTATTTTGCATAAAAGCTTCCACAAAGGATCTGGCAGTTATTTTCCCTTGATCACATCTTGATGAAATGATAGGCTTCCTAATCAACTTTATCCTTACATGTTCAAAATGTAATGTTATCTGTGAACCCCCATTTTTTGTATAAAAAGGTTGAACTTCAAACTTCAATGTACTGTACTGTATACTAATGTTTATATGAAGTGATCCTCAGCTAAATGCAATGTGTGTATCAATGAGACATAACGTGTTGAACACATTTCCTCATAAAACGTTTGCAGAGATCATTTTTAATTATTTAAAGTATATCTATATATATATATATATATATATAAGAATATAACTCATACATGGTCTTTGTCTTTACTGTTTAGTTTGACATTTCTGTCATTTTGGTATTTCTATCTTAATGGAACCATTGTGTAAAACACTAACTTTGCACATAAGAACTTACAGCACATAATACTCTGATATGCCCTGACTTACACATTATATATGTATCTCTTTTGTCCAGACGTTAAACTCGGTGACTCCTCAGCCTCAGCCTGAAGACTGCAGCATCGCACTGTTGCCTAGAAACCAAGAAAAGAACCGCTTCATGGACGGTCTTCCTCCTGACAGATGCCTCCCCTTCCTCATCACAATAGACGGAGAAAGCAGCAACTACATCAACGCTGCTCTGATGGATGTAAGTGTGTATAATGAATTCACATGCACATACAGTGAGGTTGTGTTATTTTCAACACATCAGGATGGAGTAGTTTGGGACATTAAGGTATGACGCTTTTAACACAATTTAAATGTTAGAATGTGGAAAAGTAAAAAAAAAAAAAAGGTTAATGTTCCAAACTGCAATCATGAAACTGTTGAAAATGTAACTTTTAAAAGCCTATACACACATTGTAATAAAGAGGAACATTTTAATATTAATGCACATGGTTATACAGATCACACACACACACACACACACACACACACACACACACACACACACACACACACACAGACTCCCCTCCCTGTTGGTGTGTGATGCTGTGTTTGTGGTAATAGCAGCAGAAGGCTAGAGACAAATCCAGGTTCTGAAAAGACCGCTAGCTTCTCTGTCCACCAGCCAATCTTTAACCGCCTCCTGTTGCAGGACGTGGTTTACATTGGCAACAGTTGTCAACATGTTGTACCTTGACTTGAATAACAAAGTCATTAATAGGTTGACATTTTAGGTAAGATGCCAGTATCTGGTCTGATTATAATTTAATTTTAGCAGCTCTGTTAGATTATGCAGGAAATATAGCAAAGGGTGGGAATCAGTATGTGAGTTTATAATAATGGTTAAACACAAAATGCATGATGTGGAGACAAACTTGGCTTCTCTCCAACAAAGCTGTTGGAGGACAAAAATACTGTAATTGCTGTCAAACTAAAGTTTATATTGAAAGTTTAGTCACTTACCTTTGGCCTCTCTCTAACCAAGCTCACAGAGGAGTTTCAGGTAATGGGATTTCACTTCAAATTTCCAATACTGGATTTGTTTCATGGCTTCAGTGTCGTTCTGCCACCAGGTTCATGTTTAGCAAAACCATTTACACCCGCTGTAAATCCTAAACCTGACCCCCCCCCCCCCCCGCGCCCCTCTACCCTCACATTAGATCCTGCTCATGATTACAAGTCGTCATTCACACCATGTCACACAATCAGTTGGGCTTAGTTTACCTTCAGTTCAGTAGAAATATTCTTTTACTGAACATGAAGTAAACTGACCCTTTTATATTAGGGCCGGGCAATACATTGACATTTAAGATATTGTGATTCGACATCTTATTTTTCGGATGTCATAGTATTTCTAATATGAATAAATGTTGTCTTTTCTTCTTGAAAAAGAGGCTGACATATTGCCTTCACCCATTGGACATTACCAATGATTCATTATCAAAGATGTGATACTTTGTAAAAACACAAATAGTTAATCCTACAATATTATCGCAACATTGAGGAATTTGATGAAAAATATCACGATACTTGAATGTCTACATATCGCCCAGCCCTGTATTAGATATACAGTATATGTGGATGTACCGTGCGTGAAGTGTATTTGTATATTTACTGCATGCTCCTCACCCTCATGTCTGATTGGCCCACTGCATGATCATGTGACCAAACATCACCTGTGTTGCTTGCTGCCCCACAAATCGTCCCACTGTGTTTGTGTTTTGATGTCTGTGTGTGAGAGAGACAGAAAGACGATGTGAAGGATGTAGGATGTAGGGCGCTTCATACAGCTGGGTTTAAGTGTTTCTGTTGTTTGTTCCCTGCAGAGCTACAGACAGCCTGCTGCGTTCATCGTTACCCAGCATCCTTTGCCTAACTCTGTCAAAGACTTTTGGCGTCTGGTTTACGACTATGGATGTACCAGTTTGGTGATGCTGAATGAGATTGACCTGGCTCAGGTAATTCACTCTTCTTTTGCCTCAGTAATATATCTCAAAAAGTGTATCATGTCAAAAATATGTTGGTGTTTATCTTCGTTACCGAGACATCCTGGATTTATAAATCCATTCTTTTAACACACTTCTCCCAAATACTAACCAAGATACCGTCTACATTATCTAAAGTCAATTGTGTTTTTATGTTTAAAAGATATCTATCATACCACACTAGAATGATTTATGCACTCGGCTGTATCTAATAACACAAATAAACCCTTATGATACTCAAGAGGGTTATCCCGCGAATTTGGCTTAGAATTAGTCTAGCCTCAACATCAACATCACACCACAGACTGAACACAGTACTTTCCACATTCGTAAGAAAAGTGTCTGTTACTCACCAAGGCCTAAATAACATGTACGGAAATATGGTTTCGATATTGAATTTTGCACATGTATTGCTGTTTCTCTGTCTGTTACACACAATTAGAACTGCCTTACTATTCACGTCGTTAACGCTGTGACTGTCTGTGCTCAGGGTTGTCCTCAGTACTGGCCAGAGGAGGGCATGCTGCGCTACGGCCCGGTCCAGGTGGAGTGTATGTCCTGCTCCATGGACTGTGACGTTATCAGTAGACTGTTCAGAGTCTGCAACCTCACCAGGGTCAGTACATTTATTCTGTGTTTCCATACCTTTATGTCATTCCTTTAAAAGGCTAGTCCTTCAGAAAACACTGTTTGCGTTCGAACAAAAAGAAGCAGTGGTACTTCACATCTAAAGTGTCCTGGATAACAGAAAACACTTGTCTAAATATGTGTGTGTTGTGTGATCCCTCAGCCCCAGGAAGGCTACCTGATGGTGCGTCAGTTCCAGTACCTGGGGTGGGCGGGACACAGAGAAGTGCCCGCCTCCAAACGCTCCTTCCTCAAACTGATCCTGCAGGTGGACCAGTGGCAGCGTGAGGGGGAGGAGGGGGAGGGGAGGACCATCGTGCACTGCCTGTGAGTTCTCACCAAAAACACACTCTCATACACTTAACACTGCATTTATAAAGCAAAAGGGTGTTTGTGAAAAGCAATCTGCAGCCCTGTGAGGAATAATAGAGTATGATGTTTATCCAGTCATTTTGTCAAAGTCTAGATATGTATGATCAGAAATAGGTTGCCTAAAATGATTACTACATCTAGTAGTTGGCTAATAAGAACTAGTTTATGTCAGTTATCAGAATCATTTGGTGATTATTAAATAGAAAATATCAATGACTCGTGACACTGTCTGATGAAACACCTCATTTACTGACAGAAGGAACATTTGTTTTGTTCCGTTTGCCGAAATGAAGCAAAACTACATGAAATAATAAACTGTGCTTTTTGTGACGTATATTTGTGTGTGTATTTACAGAAATGGAGGTGGGCGTAGTGGAGTTTTCTGTGCCAGCAGCATTGTGTGTGAGATGGCTAAGAGACAGAGTGTGGTGGATGTGTTCCACGCCGTGAAGACCTTGAGGAACAGCAAACCCAACATGGTGGATACTCCGGTGAGTCAGAGAGAAGGACGCACAGGCTGCGGTCAGGTAGTCAAAAAAAGTATTTCAAATATATATCATGTCTTTTCCTCCCCACTCTTTCCCTGATCAAAGACGTCATGAGTTCAAGGAAAGATGAGAAAGAGAATTCATAATGACTTAATGAAAAATACGACCACATTACAAGAGAGATAAAAAAGCACCTTTATTTATAACAGTAGTACCTTTCCTTAGCTTTAAGCAAATGACAAGCTTTTATCATGGCTTAACCCTTATGTTGTGTTCCGGTCTCCCGTGACCCGTTTCAAGTTAAAATGATATAATAACTGCGCTCTAGTTTTTTGTATCGGAACAAGGCTTCATGATATCCTCCACAACAGCTATATAAACTCTACAAAACTGATTTTAACAACTTTTGCCAAGTCTGAAGGTCTCTAAAAAAAAAAGTGTATCATTTGTAGTTCTGTCTGGGGAGACCCAGCAGAATTGTTTTGGGTGACTCGAGGTCACATTTGGCCCAATCAAGATTCATCTTTGACTTTAGACACCCCTCCCCCCCCCCCCTTCATCAACTGTAACAATATTTTAAAACTTTTTTTGGGGAGATTGTATTCTAATATAGTCAGATAACGTAATGACCCACTGTCTTCACTATAGGAAATATAATGAGTGAATTGAATCACATAAAACAACATGTGGTGTAAGGTTTTTTGGGGCCATACAATAACATTACAACAGGATTGTACGGTTATGAATGCATAATAAGTTAGTTATGATGTATTTAAAACAATATTGGATGGTAGTTCGGCTATTTCGAGTACTTTTACATGTTGATTAATGTTCACTGTCCCTTGTTTTAAATAAATCAATTCAAGTTATTATTTTTCATTGTTTTGGACTGAGATAAATCATGGGTCTAAATGTACCCGTGAACACCATGGTAACAGCTTTCGAACACAACACACAGGTTAACTATTCCCAGATCATTTCACCAAATTAGGAACCTTCATTTGCAAAAAAAGTCTAAGCCTGCCAAAGAATAAAGTTTGGTCTGGTTTTATTAAAATCTAAAACATTGGACTTTGTCAGAGATTGGCGCTTTATATTTTCATGTGATATTAAGTCCAGTTTGTCTGTCTACAGGAGCAGTACCGCTTCTGCTACGACCTGTCACTGGAGTTCATCGAGTCCTCCTAAACAGAGGAGCCAAGAGGAGGAGGAGGTGAAGAAGAGCATCTCTTCACTTCCCGTGTGTTTGATCCTTTGCTTTTGCTTGGTCCCAACCCCCCTCCCCCCTCTGTGGGGGCCGTTCTGTAGCACCGTCCCTACAGATGGAACAAGCAAGACCCATTCCTCTTGTAAAGTATCCAACAAAGGGAAGACTTTTACCAGAAGGAGCTGCTGGGAGTGCAACAGGGCGGGGGGGATGTTACTCCTTTTACTCCTTCATGCTTATTGTACAGCTTTTTGAGTGCCAGCGGGCCCCTGTATGTTTAGGGCCCCATTTAAATGTTTAGCCTCTCACCACAGCCCCACTCTCATGGACTTGATGCCTCGTGCTGTTCAGCTGCAGAGCTCCATGTGCACTGCAGATGTCTCCCTCGCCTCCTGTAAGCTGCTACCACAGCTTTTAAAAAACAGCACGTTTTCAGCGGCCCCTCATTCCTGCTCTCATGCTAATGTCATGCTAATGTAATGCTAATGTCATGCTAATGTATCATGCTAATGTATCATGCTAATGTCTAATGTCTCATCATGGTGATGTTTAATCTGCAGCCGGTACTCTTTTATAAGAAAATGAAATGTAAAGGTACAGCCTGGCCACACTCTTCTGTTTTCTACTCCATAAATCAGCAGCATCTTCATTTTATTTTACTGAGACAGAACATTATTACGTATTAAAGTACTGAAAAGCCACTTAAAACCCATTTTCCATTGCTTACCAACAGTAGATTGTCAGAAACCATAGACATAGAAAAGACCCTAAAGTCAATGAAAGTGTGCTAATTAAATGAAGTAGCATCTTAGGAACAAGACTGACAATGAAACTAAATCGGAGAAGTTTACCTGCGGAGTATTAGGCTTTTCATTTGTTTTACAATATCATGAAGTGGCATCTTAAAATGTTACATGTAGGATTTTTGCTAAAGTGTATACGTTAAAAAAAAGTGTGAAATGTATCATTGTTTATGTTTTCTGAGTTGTTGCATCATTGTTGATCTACTGGATAGTAGATTTGAAGTCTTTTTTGTACCCTAAATTGTACGATTTTTTTCAACCATATAACATTAGCGTACTCATGTTCGTTTCAGGGCTGGGCCCAATGCACTTTCAATTCAGCAAAGTCACAAATGGGACATTTCATTTCAAAAACGAAACGAGAAAAGCGGCTTAAACACAGAATAAACGCTCTTTCATGAAGCGTTGAATTACAGTTTCCATTTCTGGTTTGAATGGAATTGGAAGTGAACTGACCCCAGGCTTCATTTGTCTCGTGCACTGGCGGCCAACACTTTTTATTATTCTTTTGTAGCTGATTCATAAAGCCAAAGACTTTGTGTAAATATGTCTATATGGATAAAGCACATTGTTTGTATTTATTGTTTACTTGCATTGCTTGTAACAATCATTCTTCATCCTATGTTTACTCTACCACCAGCGCTTCTTAAACTGTGGCTCGGGACGCAAAATGAGTGGGTTTCCTTCGGAGGGTTAAAGTATGAGTAGGATTTAAATGAGCCCATAATGGGTCCTGAATCCTGGGGTAAAAAATACTACATCTGCTCAATTTGAGTCCATGAAGAAAAGTTTAAGAACCCCTGATCAAAGCTGTATATTAAAGCAATAGACGTAGTTTTTCAGTATTTAGGTGGAATTCAGTAGTATTGTCTTGTTTTCACTAAATGAAACTCTGTGATGTTACTGTGGTTTATTTGTGTAAAAGCCCATTGCTCTGTTTGTGGTCAGTAGAACATCAGTGCATTCATATGCACAGAGTATTTTGGATAATAGCTCGTATCCGTCTTAGCGGGGATGAGCTGTTTATCTTCATCCTCATAGCCTGCTCACCATTATCTCTGAATGCACACGGCTCAGTGAGAGAAACATGCAGGACTGTGGAACAAAAACATTTATTGTGCCTAATCATTTGAATTTCCTTGTTGAAATTAGCATTTTAACAACATCTTAGATTGCAACCAGGCTCTGTTGAATGCGTTCTCATGGACGATCAATGTTTTGAAAACCTTTTGGATCATGATTCAGTGTTTTATTCATCAGAATGCTTCATGAATTATTGAGTCTTTACTGAGTACCAGATGTGTTTCTGTTGTGCCCAAACTGAAAAAAATAACTTTATTGTACATAAAACGTCAGAGGTCCCACTTGGTTGGAGCAAGAGTAGCCCAGGCCTACTGTTGCCGATGTTATTGTAAATAGGCTATCATGAGGACTCTAAAAGGCTCTATTGTCGGATGAACAGTAGAGGTGATGGATCAGAGCATTGGTTCTGTTGTAGATACAAAGTCAGAGATTGTACACCTGTAGGACTCTACTTCAAATTTTGACAGATATTATTTAGAAAGCATTATAGCGTCCACTGAATACAGAACTTTATTCTGCTAGTGGAACATCAACTTTTTGAGGGTTTTTTTCCCTGCAGATTTCTGTTCTGACCCAAAGAGGAGAGAGAGGCCAAAACACAACGTAAATACAGTGAGATTACAAAACGGATGGCCCTCTCTACAGCATGCAGAGACAGAAAAATAAATACAAGTATGTCAATAGAAATAAAAAAATGTAAATCAACCTTCTTGACTACACACTTAAGGGAAAGATTTAGGAGCAAATCCTGTTAAGATGCCTGTAATTCTTCCTTAATAAATCTGAAGTAACGGCCCTGAAGAGTGAAGCAGGTGTCTCAATGAGAGGCCATTCTGAGTAATTGATATTCACCATTCATAGTTATTCTTGTCTGTAATGTTTGGCTTCTTTGCTGTAATAAAGACCACTTCTTTAATTAAAATGTGTGCAGAGTGTTCTGTTGTAAGCTTACAATTATAATGTTGTTTTCTATATTGTGCTGACTGTGCCATGTTTACGTGCTTTAATGTTCAAAAAGTGCTTTATTGGGTCTCATACTGCCTGTGCTGTAGCGCCTCTTTTCACCCTCTGCTCTGATTGGTTAGCTAGCTGACTCTGTTGTGATTGGTCAATGGCTTAGAGACGTCCCGCCCCTTGGCCTATCATGTACAATGTATTGGAGCGCTAGCCAATAGAAGCGAGTGTTACAAACTGATGTCATTATGTAGTTTCGAGGCATTTCAGGCATGAGAAAAATTGCAGGATGTTAGCCTTTGCAGACCATTTACATGCACAAAAACCTATAACACACAGAAAAGGGAAACCCCCGAACAGCATAGTAGTGCCCCCACACACCGTAAGCCCATCCCCAGGTGTTTCCACTTGTGCTGATTAGTCCTCTACTCAAGGCTGTGCAAAAATGGGCTCTATGACTTTATTCAGTACACTTAACACTTATTAGCTTGAGTTGGAGGATGAAGTTGCCAGCACCAACTGACTTGAAGTCGAAATTGCAAACAGCTGTGTAGAACTTGAAACAGGTAAGAACAAGTCAGAATTTGTGACTTTTTGCCTTTTTTACTTGTAGGAAAAGCACAGATGTTACTGATTAATACTCCACCATGGCTAGCACAATGTGACATTGAGCTAGTAGTGGCTTGGACTGTGAGCGTATGGTCGCCGGTTCAAGTCCCTGAACAGACCTAAATATGGAGTGTGGACTGCTACTTGGAGAGGTCTCAGTTCACCTCCTGCCCTGCCATGGTGCCCTTGAGCAAGGCACCGGACAACCCCCTTCCCCCACCCCCTCACTCCCATTGCTCCCCAGGCGCTGTGCAATAGCTGCCCACTGCTCCTAGTACTAGACTCCTGGTACTAGGATGGGTTAAATGCAGAGGCCACATTTCACTGTGTGTGCTGTGTGCTCTGCATGTGTGACCATTAAAGAGGGTTTCATCCCTCCGATTCTTCTTCTAGGCACAATACCAAAAACTGAAATAAAGCAGCTAAATGGAATTCAGACATATATTTAAATCTTAGCATTAACACAGGTGTCCTTTATACTTGGATGTTTCTAGGAGTCTTTTTTGAAAAAGTCTAATTAAAATAGCTTAAGCTACATCTCTTTGTGACATTAATTTCCTCTGATCTGCTTCTTGTTATGCTAATATTAGTTAGCATTAGTAACGGCTAACGTTTCACTTCAGCAACACCAGTTTCCTGAAATGTAAACGAAACTTACAGCATGTACATCGTTAATGTCATGAGCAACACCTGTGCTTTTCCTGGGGCACACGGCAATATATTTGCTATGATTAAGGAACGTTTTGGGCAGGACTTCTTAATCACCACAACTAGAAACACCTGGTGCCAATGGCACTCAAGCAAATTGTATTTTTATTTGAGTGCACGGCCTGTCTACTGGAACAAAACTCACCACCTCCTTAAAATCAACTCAATTATATCTTTTGGACATTTCAGAAATACGATTTTAATCCACACAACCTCCACTTTGACATTAATATTTTAATTAATCAGTCAAACTACTTAGACTACCCTTAGTATACTGTAAAATGCTAGTGCTTTTGACATGCCTGTAATTCAACACAGTCTCACGGCATTTCGTGTTATAGTCACGAAATTAATCTATTGATTCGTGTTCACCAACACGATTTTCGCATTTTTTTCGTGTCACACAGAACGATTTTAAAAGCAATGTAAATAATAACAAATTTGAAGGAAAAAGAGATTTAAAAAAATACAGCTTTCAGTATTCTGGATTTTAGAAGCAATGTATTTCTATTGGTAGTATGTTTCGTGCATGCACCAAATAATAACAAATTAGAAGGAAAACATATTTTTTTTAAATACAGATTTCAGTATTCTGAGGCTCTGGAGCCCCATTGATTTTCCTCGCGGACGGCAAAAAAACTCCGACATTATACAATTTAAAATAAAAGGGTTAGGTTTAGGGTAAAATAATGAGGAAGACATTTTTGTTATGAACCACACAGCTTCCGGTCTTCCAAGACCCGACCGGACAAAAAGACGTGGTACGAAAGGCATGAAATATACTACCAATAGAAATACATTGCTTTTAAAATCGTTCTGTGCGACACGAAACAAATGCAAAAATCGTGTTGGTGAACACAAATCAATAGATTAAATTAATTTCGTGACTATAACACAATGCCGTGAGACTGGGTTGTGTATTTTATTGTACTACTTATTTATCCTACTTCACATATCAAATAGTTGTTCCTAATTTGAAAATGTCTACTGTCTTTGGCTGACTAAAATGTGCCTCTGAATGTCTGCTGTGTCAGAGATCCTTCATTTGCAGCAGTTCATGTTTCTACTTCATTACGGCTCTTTCATTTATCAATTAGTCACTTAATTAATCACAGTTGTAACTGGGGGGCCAATATTGTTATGAGACACTTCACTTTGATTGCACATCATCAAGTGCTTTTCTGTTTATTGTTATATAGAGAGTTAGGATAAATGACACTTTATTGGGGTTTTGTTTATTCCCCATAAATCACTTTGCTTTGAGTTCAAATCCCATATGGCTTGTTGACAGCTGCAAGCCTCTCCACACCCCCGGTACTTACAGGAAAAAAATGAAGGCACTCAATCACAACCATGCCGTTTTCTTCAAAAAGTTTAATTGCATAATTATTTACAACAGATGTTTGATAGCAGTACTTAGAAGAGGCAAAATATACGGAGCCACATTGATAAAGCAGGAAAATGATAAAATGATATAAATAGTTGAAACCATTTTGAAACCTTGCATTTAGAAAAAAAAAAAAAAGTTTACAATTATAGGTAAAGAAATCTAGAAATGAAATATTCAGCTTGAATCAATGTTACAAACACAAACTGATCTGTAGAGTGCTGTAATACTGAACAGCAATGAAACACTAAATAATACATTCATTTTCACTATCCTGCATGCTATCTGTAGATCTTTATAAAATAATGTTGACAAAGGAACAGTAAACAACAAAAACATGGTCAAGAGCGGAAAATAGTTCCATGTAAATTAGGCATATATTATATATTTATATATGTATATTTCTGTACAAATACTGAATATTTGGCATTATATTTATCCTCATTATTGATATATCTAACAATTCAAAATAGTTTTAAGCTTACCACAAACTTTTTTTTTAAATGTTCTCATGTCACATTGCAAAACCCATAATAGGCCTTCTTGTTATTTCTACCCACAGCCACGACACAATACATTTCTCCACCAAAGGCAAACTAAGTTGTGACTTCTCTCTCTCCTCATAAACCTTTGAAACATAAAGAACGGCACAGATGTCAACTAATTTCTCCTCCCATTCATACAGTAGAGCACAGTTCCTAAAAATAAGCAGATGTTTGTAACTCAGTATATGCGGACTGAGGTCGCAAGTAAAAAAGAAAATACAAATGAATAGTAAAATCACTTACAGAAATCATGTATGAGAAAATATTACAACGCCATTAAAAAATTCTCAGTTAATTGTCATAAGAAAATATTCGTCTTTCAAAGGAATAATTTGACATTTTGGGAAGTAGGTTTCTCTAAAAATAAATCTCTTGTTTGAACGTTTTACTGACTTTAGCTGGTAACCTCACCTAATTTATATTGTGTTGTTCTTTATTCCATAACCATATGTGTAAATCTATCACTTTTTATTCAACTATTTATTACTTTTAGTCTTGTGCATATTTCTTACTTGCTTACTTGAAAGTTACATCCAGGGGATGGTTAGCTTAGCTTAATTTACCGTAGCTTGGTTTGGCTTAGCCTAGCCTCTTTTTAGCTTAGTTTACCGAAAAGACTGAAAATAGGGGAAACAGTTTGGTAACAAAATGTGCCTACCAGCATCCCTTAAACTCCCTAATTAACATGTTAAATCGTGTTTGATAGTCCCATACAAAAGTCTGTGTGTAACAACAAGAAGTTCGTTTTTTATTACTTTATTTTTTATTACGAAAGAGAATTGCTTCTCAATTTATTCTTCAGATTATGGACTATTGTGATGTTGTCTACCAAAATGCACATAAATCAGATCTTGCTCCACTCAACATAGCCTACAACAGACTATGCAGATTTGTTCTTGGTTGTCCTTTTCGTACACATCACTGCACAATGTATAACCAACTGAAATGGCCTTCTTTAAATGTAAGAAGACACACACATTGGCTCCAGCTGATATTTAAATGCATTTATCTTAACTATCCCCCTTATTTAAAGCAGTATTTCATCAAGTTAGACATTCTGTTCAGATGTATTTCTCTGTCCCCTCTGCAAACAAATTGATTGGCAGAAGAGCGTTCATGTTCAAAGCCCCAACTGACTGGAATACTTTACCTGCTGCTATTAGATCTCTTGCATCATTGGGTATGTTTAAACATGTTATCATCTCACTTTCAACTGGTCTGTACTTGTTATTAATGAAACTGATATTGATGAAACTGATTTGCTCGACTGTCTCAAATTGTAATGATTGTATGCATTGCTTGAATGTCACTTAACAGACTGTATGTGGTTTGTCTTGTGTGTCATGTTTTGCATTTTGTCTTTTTGTTTATGTATGTCTGTAAGTTGTTTTGTTGGGACCCCCTTGAAAACGAGATGGTGCATCTCAAGGGGTTCATCTCAATGAATACAAATGTCTATATATATTATGTGGGAAAACCCTTGCAAAACCACAGAATAAATATATTACTCCTTAGTATTGTACGAAATAAACAAACATGATCAAATGAGAAAATGAGTGAGCTTTAGAGGTGCTATTTTGTTACTTCTGGACGTATCCCAGCCATCGCCCCGTTTCCAGTCTTTATGCCAAGCGTTGCTAATCAGCTGCTGCTTGTAACTTCATTTTTAACGTAAAAACGATCGACTTCTCTGATTCTCGCCAAGACAACAAATAGGCA